TTGGGTCTTCGGATGAGGCAATATTGGCGGTAGTTACGTTGTGACTTACGAAGTTCTCTCTCCACTTCGCGTTTAACCTTGAAGTAAGCTCTCCAGTGTGATCCACCTTTACGTTGGGCTTTAATGTAGCATCTCTCCTTTTTTCTGCATAATGTCTTATGGTGACTTGTGAACCAAGGAGTCTTGTGCTTGCCATTTATTTCTTTGGGTAGAACATGCTTGTTAATCAGTTCTAAGATACCGTCTCTGAACTTACACCAGTTCTTGTCCACAGACCTTGACTCTGGTGATGAATTAAAGAAATCTTGTGTTAGCTGTTCTGCACCATGTCTAAAATCTGTTGTGTTGACCTTACCCCATTTGTGGATTACTCTGGACTGTTTCCTGGCTAACGACGCTTTAACGGAACAAGTGGCTATTACAATGGCATGATCAGCCATTCCTGGATGTGGTACAACCGAGTTAAATAAGCTTGGCCGGCTTGTAAGGCATAAATCTAAGATGTTTTGTGTTCCATTTTGGTCAATTCTAGTTGGGAACGTGACTAGTTGCTCAAGGTTGAAGTCCGCTGTCAACTGCACGATAGATTCTTGAAGCTCACCATGCGGAACTTGGTCTTCTGCCCATGTCATGTTCGGTATGTTAAAGTCCCCACCAAGAATGATATAAGGTGTTTTTGTTTCAGCATGTATCATCTGTAGGCTACAAACAAGGTTTTCAAGATCGTTGTGCAGATTTTTTTTTTCAAGATCACGAAGTGCAGAGTAAAACGAAAACGCGTCCCCCCTCATTAAGCCACGATGGCCTTAGCGAAAGGCTATAGTGCCTACGCCGAAAACCAACTGGTCTGCAACCTCGTCCCCAGTGCTTACTTTATTTCCAACCGCGTTTCCAAATTCAAACAGTAAGCCCTGGATAGGAAACTTTCTTCCTGTATCCTGATTCGATACCGCAATTGGCCAGAAATGGATGTTTATCGTGTACTTGGTGTTGTTATTCAAAACGTGCAGTACGTGTTTTATAAGATCGTAACAGTTTAATTAAACAAATCGTGTTTTCGTAACTCAAGCCATGCTCGCGCTGCGACGAATTGACTCTGTTAAACAAGCAATAATATAACACACATTTAGGCACCAGACTATTCCTCATTTGCATACGTGTTCAAAAATCTTGCACATGCAAATGATCAATACCAGGGTGAGAGAGCAGGTAGTGATGGGCGCGTATTGATCGACACCCTGAGGACGCTGTTGACTGGTCTGAGTATCACCCGTTAGGCCAAAAAAAAAAGTCTCCGGTTTCTGGTATGCGCGCGCGTCGCCGTAGCCATGCGCGTCGGTAAAATGAAAAAGTTTTTTTTTAATGAAAGATGATGTCTCAAAACCGCCAAACTCACTGGTTTGACTGGAATCCTGCTGCTGCACAATTTTAACGTGTTTTTAGATTGGGTTATGGTCGAGAATAAGCTTTATGTGGCCTCTCTGTACTCCCATATATTTGCACTAAGTTTAGTCGGGCACCATAATTATGCAGTCGACTCATCAGCCGACATTTGAAGCAAAAAAATCAGGTAAAAAAAAAAAAGAAGCCGCGTCGCCGCACCATTTTTTGGGCAAGCTCCATACTAGAAACCGGAGACTTTTTGGGGGGCCTTATCCACGGAGCCAAAAGTCTCCTGCTGTACCGGTATAATACGTCTGATTATGTGAGCATGCATATTTATGCGATTCGCGCCTCAGCCAATCGGAGTCGACTTTACTAAATCGTGACGTCATTTTATTCCCAAATCATGAGGACTAAATGGTTTGATTGGTGATTTGTAATACAACAACAGCCAGTCGCATATCGCGTAGCATGACATAGAGCGCGTGACACATTTTTTTGTATCCATGTCTATGACGCGCAACGGGTAAATGACCAAAGACCCGATATTCTAATTGGTCAAAATGTAGAGGTCAAGATGCGGTTGTCTTGCATAATGAGTCTATGAATCTGTTCAAATGTAACAGACCATGGCTTTCGACATGGTCTATTGGGGGGATACATAATCAACCTCGTCCCCATTGCTTACTTTATTTCAACCTCGTTTCCAATAGTAAGCCCTGGATAGGAAGGCTTCCTGTATCCTGATTCGATACTGTACAATCATTCACAACGTGCAGTACGTGTTTTCGCGATCTTTCGTCCACGCCTTCTCGAAAATACTAATTTCCTTTCCAATTTGTTCATATTTATATGAAATATGATACTGCATGTTGTCTGGAAAAGATCGTAACAGTTTAATTTAAAAAGTGGTGTTTTCGTAATTCACGCCGTGCTCGCGCTGCGACGAATTGACTCTGTTTTTACCCCAGACACCGCATACAAAAACAAACGGTAATGTAACGCATATCCAGGCACCAGACTATTCCTCATTTGCATACGTGTTCAAAAATCTTGCACATGCAAATGATCCAATACCAGGGTGAGAGAGCAGGTAGTGATGGGCGCGTACTGTTCGACACCCTGGGGACGAGGTTGGGACATATTGTGATTAAACTTAGTGACGCGAAGCTGTTACTGCGTGTAGTCCGGGGCGCGGCCCGATTAAGGGCCCCGGGAAATGTTTAATTCTAGATGCTCTGTGGTGCAATCTCAGGCAATATCTGACCATTTTTATTTTTTCCTGAGTAAAGGATGATAATTTTGATTAAACATCATTTTCGGGTTTGGAGTCATTGAATCAGCTATCATGAGCTATAAAATCAAACTGTAGGATACAATATTTATTGTCGCGTCGCGCGCGCCCTGCCTCCCCGTCGTCTCGTCGTGGCTCGTCGAGTCGTGCGCGCGCGTCCCCCCGTCTCGTCGTGGCTCGTCGAGTCGTGCGCACGATGTCTCGTCGCAGTTCTTGGTCCTGTCGCTTTTTGTTTTTAGTATGTCAGACCATTTTGTTCCTTCCTCCATGGTCAGACCCCCATGAGTCCGTGAGACGAGAGGCCGAAAACGCTTTAGTTTTCGAGATACGCGATCTGGTCCGCCGAATTTTATAAAACTTTCTAGACATGTAGATTATGATGTACCATATCAAAAAAAACATTGTTCCCCGATCCACAGTTTGTTTGGGAATGGGAAAATCTGGGATAAAAATGCCGAAAATTCTGCATGAGAAAAAAAAACAAAACAGCGCCCTCTATTGACACAGTCAGAAACATTTTCGCACGCAATGAGCGCTTGCCAGATAATACCTCTTTTAAGTTCCCATTGAAGATCATTTCAGAACAAAATCGTCTAAGCTGTTGCCGAATGGCAGCATTCAGAAATCGAATTCGTTGATTATAAATCAATTAGACGAATTTAATTTCTTGACTAAAAAGGTTTGGCGTAGACTAGACGAAATCGATACTCCGGTACGAAAACGTGTACTTATTGTTTGAATTGCTTGAACTGCATTTTAATATTGTCGCACAAAAGGCGAAATTAAACGTTGGAAGTGCACTAAATCGACGGTGATGGGCGAATATTATTATTAGAAACGGTGAATTCGAATGATAAACGTTTAAAAATAGCCGGGAAAACCTGTATAATCCAATTTAATCCATTTATTTATTTATTTATTCTTTTTGTTGGGGGATTTAAACCTGCACAGTTGTTACCCGCACAAGAAGAATGGTATAGGGTTTCCCGGCCAATTTCCTAAAATGTTCATTCACTTCTGAAAATCGGTCATTCATTTTCGTCTGAATTTGAGAATCGCTCTGAATATGCGTTTCGGTTTTGCTACCAGAGAATTCGATTCCATTTCAGTTCAATCAATTAAGTGATTGAGCAGCACTTTTCGTTATGTCCATTTTAGATTCGTTTACAAGACTTCTCTTTCACTTTTAGAGGGTGATTTCAAACATTCACAATTCTATTTCACTTTTAGTTTAATGCCATCGGCACCAGATACAATTATAGTGGGTTGTTTTCATTAACCGTCATTCAAATTAGCTGTACCTGAAATCAATTTAGAAAAGGTATGCTTGCGTAAATGAATGCACATGTAACGTAATTGGCCGAGAGAAACTTGGCAGAATTGAAAAGGCCATTGCGTGAGAAAAGGTTTCTGACTGTGTCAATAGGGGGCACTGTTTCTTATGTTTTTTTTCTCATGTAGAATTTTCGGCGTTTTTATCCCAGATTTTCTCATTCCCAAACAAACTTTGGATCGGGGAACAAAGTTTTTTCGATATGGTACACCATAATCTACATGTCTGTGAAGTTTGATAAAATTCGGCGAACCAGACCGCGTGGCGAGCGAAAAAAAGGCCTCGTCCCACGGACTAACCAGATCCGCCCCTGTTTGGGACTCGGCAGGGTGACCGTAACGTCAGAGCCAAATTCTGCTAAATACACATCAAAGATCTGTCAGATTTATCAAAAATCTGCCAAATTCCCCAGAATTACTCGAACTACACTATAAACACTTAAAATCACATGCAGATTGGTTGTATTGCCTTACTTAAGATTCAAATTACATACTCAATCTAGTCACATAAAGATGTCGTGAAATTATTGGTAAATTTTGGGCAAAATGCGGATCCGGCCACGAGGAAGTTCGTTTCCCAGTGAACCTCAGCACCTAGACCAGCCAACCTGAAGGGTTTGTTTGAAAGGATTGAAGCTTTTTTAAACAAAATGTACACTTTTTTGTTCAAGTTTGCTGTTTTTCTGTCAAATAACCATTTTTGCAGAAATCTGCCCAAAAAAATCCATTCTTATAGACTGTCCAATTTTCTGTCAAACTCGTTTTTTAACAAAAATTCTGTCAAAGTTAGCCGAAAATTGGCTAAAACGGTCACCCTGGGACTCGGTCTTATTATTAGTCTTCGCTTGAGTTGAGTCTTCTGATGAGGAACCCGAGTCGAGTCGAGTCCTTTACCCTTATAGACTCGATTCGAGTCACCAAAATATTTGACTCGAGTCGGACTATCGACTCTCGCATTTTACTACACCGTTTACCTACTCAACGCTAGGGGCGCCCTTCCCCACACCCAATTTAATGACGTCTTCACGTTTCATCGGTCAGGCGCGATCAAATCCGGTGTCCAATAGCTTGTTCACTTTTGCGGTACTGTCTTCAGCATGCAGGCGGCGACAACTTTGGTAAATATCATTAATTATTGTTTCTTTTCCAGCAATTCCAACCGCGTAGCCAGAGATTTTAGGGGTGTATTTCCGAATGGCAGAGTAATTGCAGAATACCCCGCCACTCGGAAATACACCTAAAATCTCTGGCTACGCGGCTGGAATTGCTGGAAAAGAAACAATTCAAGTCCATTGCCAGCTACGCAGATACTGAGTGGGGGTCTATTATTTGAGAACGAAGCAACACAAAAGCAATGGGAGTTGCTGAAATTTTTTTAAGTCCAAACCAACCACCCTGTTGTTGGCTACGCGGATACGGAGTGGGAGTCCCCTTGAATATGCTTGAGAATGAAGCAACACAAAAGCAATGGGAGTTGCTGAAAAAATTATAAGTCTAAACTAGCCCCACTAGTGTGGCCGTCGGTATGCTGCGCTGAACCTAAGGCCACACACCGTGGTCCGCGCACTACTGAGGACGTTTTCATAAAATTTGCAGGGAATTTCTTACATATGGTTGTATTCTACGATGTCCCATCTATCACTTCTGGGATGCTTAGGTGTAATGATGTTCAATTTTCCGAGATATTCTTGAATCTTTCTGGAGCCCATATGCACTCGTGAAACGTCCGGTGATGGCAGCCATTTTGAATGTGACAAGAGATGACCTCAAGCTGTGACGTCGCGTTTATGCAAATTGCTTGTCGAGCGAGGGCGCGAGTTGCAAATGCGACGGCTGTTTCCTGTGCCGTAGATCCTGAATAGAGATCAGTGCACGTGGCCCCCAGACGATAAATGCATGGTACAGGAAACAGCCGTCGCATTTGCAACTCGCGCCCTCGCTCGACAAGCAATTTGCATAAACGCGACGTCACAGCTTGAGGTCATCTCTTGTCACATTCAAAATGGCTGCCATCACCGGACGTTTCACGAGTGCATATGGGCTCCAGAAAGATTCAAGAATATCTCGGAAAATTGAACATCATTACACCTAAGCATCCCAGAAGTGATAGATGGGACATCGTAGAATACAACCATATGTAAGAAATTCCCTGCAAATTTTATGAAAACTTCGTCCTCAGTAGCGCGCGGTACCACGGTGTGTGGCCAGAGGTTCAGCGCAGCATACCGACTGGCCACACACCGTGGTCCGCGCACTACTGAGGACGTTTTCGGAAAATTAACAGGCAGTTTCTTACATATGGTTGTATTCTACGATGTTCCATCTATCACTTCTGGGATGCTTAGGTGTAATGATGTTCAATTTTCCTAGATATTCTTGAATCTTTCTGGAGCCCATTATGCACTCGTGAAACGTCTGGTGATGGCAGCCATTTTGAATGTGACAAGAGATGACCTCAAGCTCTGACGTCGCGTTTATGCAAATTGCTTGTCGAGCGAGGGCGCGAGTTGCAAATGCGACGGCTGTTTCCTGTGTCGCGCGCGTCGTCCAAGCCGTCGACATCGATGCCCACGCAGTGCATGCATTTTAATTTTTATTTGGAACAGGAAACAGCCGTCGCATTTGCAACTCGCGCCCTCGCTCAACAAGCAATTTGCATAAACGCGACGTCACAGCTTGAGGTCATCTCTTGTCACATTCAAAATGGCTGCCATCACCAGACGTTTCACGAGTGCATTATGACTATGAGCTCCAGAAAGATTCAAGAATATCTCGGAAAATTGAACATCATTACACCTAAGCATCCTAGAAGTGATAGATGGGACATCATAGAATACAACCATATGTAAGAAACTGCCTGTTAATTTTATGAAAACTTCGTCCTCAGTAGTGCGCGGTACCACGTGGCCAGAGGTTCAGCGCAGCATACCGCGGCCACACTAGTGGGGCTACATACCGACGGCCACACTAGTGGGGCTAAGTCTAAACCAACTACCCTGTTGGCGGCTACGCGGTTACTGGGAGTGCAGTGGAGCATGATGCATAGTACATACAAGTTAGCTGGAGTTACCCAGCCTCGAGTTTTATCATGATAAAACTCAGGGCTGGGTAACTCCAGCTACATACAAGTAGTGCTGAGAAGGTTTATTGAGGGCAATCAACCGTGACTCCGTAGCCGGCTACGAGGTGGATAGATTGAGTGGCGGGGTATTCTGCAATTGTGCCAGTCATTCATTGCAAAAAATGATGATAAGCTAAGACATGAATCCTGGACTTAGAAATATTTCCTATATATAGGCCTACCTAAAAACTTTTCTTGACTCTCCATAGACTTTGTACACAATCGCGGAAGTGGCGTCAGGTTGCAACATTTGAGTAACTATTGAATGCAGGGCCACGCCAGAGCAAGTTTTTTTTATGTAGATTGGACGCCGTATTATCGTGGTACTTATCCAGTCATTCTGATTTGAGGCGTGCGACCCCCACGCCATCACACGCCTAAGCTGCCCACAAAGTGCGAATAATCGCACGCCTGAATCCCTCTGTACCGCACACCTCAGCATACATTTACGGCATAAATACTTCATAATTTATGGAAAAAAAGTATGTCGGTGAAGAGAAAACAGCTTTAATTTGTGAACCAAGATGAATAGTAAAAAAAAAACCCCATATTGTTCAGTCCCAGCTTGGACCACAGAATCACTCGCCTAGAAAATTCACACGCCTAGATAAATCACACGCCTAGAAAATCCAGGTGTGACTTTTTCCACACGCCTGTGATTTTCAAATCAGAAGGACTGCTTATCACGTTTCTTGTTCAGAATAGAGATAAACCTCTAACCTTCCTGAATTGTCCTGTCAATGTGTAGTATAACTCTTCCTTTTCAAATTGATATAAAAAAATCTGATGGTGGTGTGGTTTATTCCGTGTACGATGCCTGTGAAAATAGACATGTTCGGAGTATGCGAACGGAGGTGGACTCACTATTATCGCGGTATTAGGGAAGTGGTTTTTATAATGATCTCAGCTTTTTGATTCATACAAAAATCATAGTTAATGTTTGACCTAGCTCTACTCAGCATTAAATGTACATTGGAGCAAACGTGTGACAAATAAGGTGCTACATGATGGCAATCTCCCAAAACCAAGAGTCAGAAAGACGGCTCGGATTTGCTGGTCACGCTTTTAGAAGCAGTGAACCCATATCTGAAGTACATGTACTTCTCCGGAAACCCAAGCAAAGACAGAGAAGCAGACCTGCAATCACCTTCATTGACATACATGTACTCCCGCAAGACACAGGGCTACACCCGGATGAATTGCCTAGAGGAATGAGGGAGAGAGAAACTTGGAAAGCCATCACATCTCGAGACAGGAACATTAGGCTCCACTCAATTGTAAAGTGAAGTAAGGAGCTGAGAAGTCGTCTCCTCAGTTGCTTCTACAACACCAAACTTTGCTGCCCAAAAGCTATGACAAATGATTTAGAAACAGGTACACTCTTTATAATTAAAATCTGTCGGCTCCAAAAAACTCCAGCAGCGCTATCAGTATCATGGATCAACTGGCTCATTTTCAAAGTGTGGAAGTGAATTCTTAAAAAAACTGCATGACAGCATTCTAGAGACGAAGCCAAAAAGTAAGAACTAACAGACATTTAATAAATTTAATTTTTTTTTGTACATTCAGCTAAAAATGAATCAGTTTTACTTATTTTGTAAACAGACCCTAATTGTGCAGAATTTAAAAACATGTTTTTGTTGTTTTATTTTCTAGAGAATGGCTGTTAGTAAGCATGGGTCAGTGATATTACGAAGATTCCTGTTTGGGCAGAGATGCTTCACCAGTAGTGCAACGCCTTCAGAGGTGAAGTCAGTTTCTCGATTTGCATCACTTGATGCAAAGATTGAGAGAGCTTTACCAGCAAGATGGCAACCAATATGGAATCATCCTGCAGGTTGGTAGACATAACACATGGAAATAAGCAAATGTTAGGTGCACATGATGTATGATGCAGGTCAAAGGTTACATGCACATGATGCATAAATCAAATGTAACAGCTGTGAATGATGCTTGGTGCAGGTCAAAGGTGAGACACTAATGGTTGGTGAAGGTCAAAGGTTAGATGCACATGATGCAATGTGCATTGTCATCCTTAAAGCCGGTATATACATGCTTTTTCAAAAATTTAAATTTCTTTTCCAAACAAAATTTACAGGAATATAGGCCTAATGCCCTGTAGCAACTAATTTTGCATGTTTGGATTTGCAGGCCTTTATACAGTTTTAAAAATTGGTTTTAAATAGTGCACTCCAGTTCAGAAAGTTTTGAGCGAAATCCTATACACATTCATAATCTAGTGACATAGCCATGTAATACATACATTTATGTTAATTTTGGAATCACACATTTTGTATTCGCCTGGCCAGATCCTAGCTAGCTACAGGATGATTGCGGCCGGTCCAAGACACTGCGCCGCGATCAACGTAGACCTACAGCCTGGTTGCACAGCAGATCCTATGTTCTATCAGAATCTCTGCTACTTTTGTGTCTTTTCCTCTCAGAGGATTGCAAAACCTGTGCTTCAGTGCAACACTTTAAACCGTGTACATTGCAACTGCATGTATTATCATCCTTAGAGACAAAAAGGGTGCATGCTGTGTAGAAGTGCTCCTCTAATGACACTTTGATGGAGATGAATTTGATTTACTTTGCTTACTCTTTTGATTCCATTTAGGGCTCAAGACGATTCATTTCTGGGCACCAATGTTTAAATGGGTGAGTACTCTTAAAGCTCTTTACAACGATACAATTTGATGTCAACAAGGCAATTTCATTTTGCTTGTTAGAGAAAGTGTGATAGTTTTCATGGCATGTTACCATATTTTAAAGGTCTGGGTCGCAAAAATCCACATATTGTCTTGCATTTAAAAAGAAAATAATGAAAACCCCTGCTTGTTTGTTATTTTGGATCTGAAGTGGAACAGAAGTGGATTTTTTCTTTGCATGTACTCATTTCCAAAAGCCTTTAAGTTAGGAACCAAATCAGACTGGTGATGATACACAATGTAATGCATACCATGTTATTGTTAGTGATAATTTTGTTGTGTGAACTCAGATCCAGCAACAGTGAGAGAACACAGGGAGCATTCCATACATCACTCAATTGAACCTTCAGTGGCCTATCAGCCATCAGAAACCGATTACATGTCCTAACAAGTCAAATTTAGCTGGCAAAATATTGAAGCATGTACTGAGAAAATACTTGGAATTGTCTCATAGGGTTTGTGTAGAGGGTGTCAAGTGATGTCCAGGTATGGAACACATTTGAAGCAAAGTTTTCATACAGTTTTCATCACTTTTTGTGAAACAAAATGTTGAACCTTCCTCACACCTGCAAATCCCAACACCATACGGTAAACTCTACACCCAAACTGTTGGACTCTGATTAGGGTGATAGTGCAGAGCCCACTCCGACTGATTCCAACAAAGCGTGGTGTTGGACACACTATAATGTCCCATTGAACACACTATAAGGTCTCATTCCTTCATACGATAATTACAGGAAAACTGCAACTTTCCAACTTTTATCATTTTGTGGGAAACATGCTTTAGAGCCTGCAGTGGCACATTCTAGATGAGAGTGCTCCTTTAACCATTGGTGTTTCACATTAAATTCCTCCCTTTTGTCACCATTGATGACAGCTGTTTACTTTTCTTGTCTTGTATGTATATTTTGCAGTGTTTAGTAATAGCTGGCCTAGCAGACTACGCTAGACCTCCAGAGAAATTGAGTGTTTCCCAATCAGCTGCTCTAGCTGCTACAGGTATAGTAACACACTATATTGTCACTACCCTGCATCAGAGACAAATGGTCTGTGTATCAAAACTTACAAGATTTATTATAAAAGTACATTGAATGGTTGCAGGCCCAGCACTTAAGTCTCTTATCATTTTGTTTGTTTGAATGACAGGCATGATATGGTCTCGATACTCCATGGTGGTCATCCCTAAGAACTGGAACCTGTTTAGTGTCAACATCTTTCTGGCATTCACTGGCTTGATGCAACTGACTAGGATATATATGTAAGTAATATTTGGAAAACTATTGTTGGCCCTCACATCTAACATTCTCAACTTGATACATGTTTATGTCATTCATGGAAAGTCGTTGTCTTTATCAGTGCATCCTCAATGGTACATGTATGTGCTTGAGATTCCTATGTCTTACCCTGTTTGTTTTTGTTCCTTGCCAGGTATCATCAAAGCAAGAAAGAGGAATTTGCAGCATTACATAAATGTGGCAGACACGATTCTCAGCGAAACAATGTGAAACATCCTTAAGCCTGGTTCATACTCGGCGCAAAAGCAAACACGAATTTATGACATCATGGGGAGTATTCACGCTGCAAATTCATAAAAGTTGAACACATTTTAAATCGGGCAAATTTCACAGCGAATGTTTTATTACGTCAAATTCAATTCGCATTCGCATGAAGTATGAACCGGGCTTTAGGTAGAAATGAATTGTTTCACTTCACACAGGAAAATTCACATTTTTTTGAGAAATTTTATATGTACTATAACAGGCGAAATGTTGCTAGCAGTCGTGATGGAGGCCTGAATAAGCTCCACCCTCTTATTATGGAACCACATCTGAATTGCTGCAATTTGAGTTCAAAATTATGTAGTAATGTTTATTTGGAAATTTGACCATTTTTTAAAGGCATCTTTTCTTTTAGAATGATTTGTGACATGACACAGCTGTGATTGGGTGAAAAAAGTGAAGCACATGTAGGTTGTGAATGGACTTGCAAGCACCATAGAGCTATTTGAAGTTACCTGAGCAATAACTGGCCATACGCAAATGTAGCCTGCTGGGCGCTTCCATGTTTATGCACTAACATATGGAAGGCTCAACATTTTGTACCGTTTTTGAAAGGTTATTTGCATATCAACTGATCCACTCAATCAGTATACGAGCTTTGTGTTTTGCTCTAATGACGCACACACATTTCGCATATGCGCCGTATTAATTTTTTGTTCATAGTGTGTCTGTGCTGAGTGCATGACTCTCACGCAAATTCATCTGTCGGTATGGCCTGTGGGCATGCACATAAATTAAAAATGTTTGGCACAGGATGCCTATGATATGATCGCATTTTATGCGAGAGAATGGAGAGTTAACGCCCTAGTTATTGAATATAGCTCTATGAACAAGCACATTGTTTTAGGTTTGAAACAGTTAAGACAGAAAAGGCTGTGAGAATTTCAAAGCTTCAGTTGGGACTTTATCACATGACTTACATGTAGCATGCAAAGTAAAGATCTAAATGCTTCATGGAATATTTAACTTGAATTGTCTACCTATTTAAATCCTGAGTTGTTGATCTGCGGATGATGTGGTTTTTTTCCTATCTACATTGGTGTGTGTGTAGACAGTAAGCACTTGAAAGAAAATGTCAAGGAAGATTAAGAAGAATGGCACTGATAGGCACGTAGCAACATTCAAATAGAAAAAAAACCTGCTCAAAATAAAACAGGACTGGTAACAAATACACGTGCATTTACCCCTTGTGACAATATTCTGCCTGGTATCGTTTGAAATGGGGACACATTATTTTTTTATTTTAAAGAGTATGACGATAATAAATATGTGAAGATTACCAATCCATTGTGATCTTGACGTCACACACACTTTTAGGCTGAATGAGTATCATGCCCAGTGTGCTGATTCAGGAATATGACAAGGTCAATTCAAAATATGAAACGGCAATAACTTCTGAATTTGAAGCACTAGCAACTGAACCCACTTATCGGATCAAAATTGTGCATAGGGTTTTCTTGAATTTATACTTTTTACTGATCTGAAACGTCAAGCAGTTTGTTATGTACCTTACTTAAGATTGTGAATAATTTGTTTCTTCAAATGAAAAAAATGCAGAAAATGCAAATGATCCTATGAACATGTACGTTTAAAACTCCTGTGTTTTCTATTTCACTCTTTATTCAGCAGAAAAGACAAATACTGTTGCACATATTTGAAAAAATCTTTAGAAGTATGTTTTTTATTCAAATTCTGTAGCTTCCTTTTGAAACTTATTTATAACTGAAAACAAAATGTTGGGCCTCTTCATGTTGGAGAGTTTTTAATGCATAATAATACTTGTACATTATATTTTTATTAAGTCCAAATAAATTATGAACAAAATTTTATTTTATGTTATTGATTTATAGTTTATTGCATGTAAAGCAAAAAAAATGTTTGACAGTCATTACAATGGCAAGAGAATAACTTGATATCCAACAATACAGCAAATGACAGACTAAACTCGGCATAAGCTCCATGCATTGCTGTATGCATCGAGTTACAATGTTGATGGCATCAATGTCAGGTGGCATTTCCCCTTATGTTTGTCATTTTGATTTTCTTCATTTAGTACCTTGTTCGAGTATTTATTTAAACCCCAAAATGCAAAGTAAAAACCAGGTTAAAATATCCCATTTTACAAATCTTAAGTAATACTGAACTGTTGAAAAGTAACCAGTGATTAACAGTTATGTGAAAACAATTTCCAAATTCTGTTTTTAAGTGCACAGTAAATCTTTTTCAACTTTCAAAAAATATGAAAATAATTTCTGCCACACTGAATATTTATGGAGACGGTAATACAGGTGACATACTGGTTTTTGTAAACTTTTTGACTTCAGAACAAAATTTCAACAAACAATTATTTCACATGATTTGTTCAGCAAGTGTTAGAGTAACTGCACAGTGACACTACTCAAGGGAGAGCCTGGAGAAATGGACCTGCCTGGTCTTGAGTAGTCTAAACCAGGTCTATTTCGCGTGAACAGATTTGCTGATTAATTAGGCAAGACCCCGCCTCTTGACCTCCTAGATTTTGACCAATCAGCGGGCGCTTTCTATATCGAGTCTTCGGTCATTCACCCGTTGCGCGTCACAAAGACAATGGATTAAAAAAACCATGTCACGCACTCTGTACCATGTTACGCGATATGGGGCCGGTTGTTGTATTATGCATTCAAATTGACCAATTAAACCATTTAGTCCTGATTTGGGAATGAAATGACGTCACGATTAAGTAAAGTCGACTCCGATTGGCTGGCGTGCGGCTTGCATAAATTTGCATGTCAGGAAATGTCCCACGTTATACAGGATTTGGATCTGTGGATAACGGGTGATACTCGGACTAGGTCTTGAGCAGGGGTATGCACATTACACATATACCTCAGCATTGCTAACCACTGACTTACTTCACCAGATGAATACCACAATTATGTTATACATAATAGATCAATATCAAAACACTGAACACAAACACTGAATTCTTTTAAAATATATGCTTCAACATGTAACATACATAAAGTAGTACCGGAAACAAAAATAGGAGGGGTATGGAAGGGTATTCAGAAATGGTGAAAAATGTCTTCCATGTGTATGATGTGTACAAATTCCTTATTCATATTTACATATTACTATTTTGTTCTTACAGATAACGAATGAGTCATTTCTTTTAACCATTTTGTAAAATTGGGGAAAAATATCAACGACGTAAAATTTGACTGCTAATATTTCAGTAGGTAAGCATAGTTTCTGTTAACTTTGGCAACCACATAATACCTCCACGTACACTTGGTAATTTGTGAAAGTGATATGCTCGACTAGTTTTCCTGTAAAATATATTATCCTAGTTGCTTTAAAGTAATATTTGATTTAAAGTACATACGTGTAACATTTTGACTGAGGATGGGGAACAGATGAGGCTTCACAGACTTGGGGAGGACGGGAATAAACCTCATTCTCAGGTGGGTTTGGGTTTCTGCAAGGAAACCAATTTGTTATAATGATAATGAATGAACAGTATCGCTCATTAAGTCGAAATACTGGCACAGTCGCACAATGCTGGTGACTTCAATACACAGTGTAATCTCTCATTACTAACTGTTGAAGCTAACAAATCAAATGTGACCTATTCATGGGCCAGCACCAGACTACAATTATAATTGTCCATGGTAGACTGTTTCCTGACTCCATCCCCAATCGTCATCAATACCTGGACATTCTACCAACTGTACAAATACACAACAGCAAGGATCAAGGGGAAAATATCATTTTTGTCTTCATCAACTGTTATATATCTCATGGAACCTGAAACTAATGTTGAAACAAACCAACAGCAGGAATACATTACCCTTTTCCCTTTAAAAGGAAGCAATATAAATGGCTACTTTCCATAAAACTATACATGATGAAGATGTTTTGGACACGACATGATGACATACTATAGTAAAGCATTTCAACTGAACCCTGTCTTGATCCTAGAAAATTGGCTTGGAAGTCTTGTGGACGTGATCTGTCAGAAGGGATAGCAGAACTGCCTGCAAGTGACAAATACAGAAATTAAAAATCCTCAAAAACATGGCCTTACATGTACTGTGAATGATACATAGTGATCTTGTTAATACAAACTCTGTTGGGATAAATTTCTGGTTATTACAAATATAAACCTGTTGCAGCCGAATAGTGCACATTGTTTAAAACGAACATGGACAGGATTCCTAACATTTTAGCAGAATGAATTTCAGTAAGTGTGGTCCCTCAGTCCCTGAATAAAACAAAAATAAGTCCAAGATAATTAAGCCTTTGGTGCACAGGGAGGTCACTAGCAACTGCCCAAGAAACTTTATAATCTGTTCATCTAAACAAACAATCTGGGCACCAAACATACCAAAGGGTAAAAGAACTGCTAAACAAAAAAAAACAAAAAAAAATTCTCAAATGTCTTTGAAAAGAATTATTCTCTACACGGCGCAATTTGATGCACGTGGGTGTGCAGATCATTGAGACTCTGTGATCTGGGGCCAATTTCACAAAACTCTAAGATGCGTCTGCAGAAGGGTATTAACTCATCTTAACTCGATGAATGGGAGGTTTGCGGTAACGCCACATGAATGATATCTCTTTGAGAGTTGTGTGATTCTGAGAAGAACCAGTTGGTTTAACTCGATTTCGAATAGTGTGCTCTGTTCATCATCAGGAGAACAGAGCATACTTTTAACTCTCCGCAAACCTCCCATTCATTGATCATGTCCACAAGCAACCCTTAAGTCTCATTCATCTTAACTCATGACTCGGATCAATTTCACCAAACTTAAGACGCGTTCAACACGTCCTAACTTCCTTAGCAACGCAGCTGAACTCGTCTTAACTTAATCTAAACTCATCTTCTCTCATCAATGCGTGCATGAATTTATATATCTAGAAATCATTGCAATGTCTTCCCGTTAAAGACGAGTGTCAGCCTCTAGTTATAGTTTCAAGGGGAAAAAATGCTGTAGAAACAGTTTTAAAAGATTTGTGATACGTGGGTAGTTATAATAAAAATTGTTTCATTTACAAAATTTATTATACGCCAACACCTAGTCAACTATTTAAAAATAGAGTGATGAAACTGGGAGCAAGAATGACTCCATCGTATCTTGTGTAAACCTACCTTGAGTGTGACATTTATTTGAGTAATGTTATTTTTCTGGTGAAAGTTTGTGTTCTATGCTCGCGCACAGGATGTTTGCTTTGCGGGTTTCTTTTCAACGACTGTTCGTCAAGCGGTAGTTTTGATGCGTCTTGCTTAAGATGGGTTTAGTGAAATCGTTCTTAGTGTGCATATTAGCTAAGATCGATCTTAGAGCAGGGACTCGTCCACAGTCCTAAGATAAGTCACAAGATAAGACGAGTTTCGTGAAATCGGCCCCCGTGGAGCTCAGCTTGTCCGTCTTTGAATACGGTTACATTCTACATATGTGCATTATACACACACATGCACAATGGATGGGAAAATTGTGCTCTGTTTAGTATGAAATTTGAATAAAATGAGCAGTTTGATGTTAAAGAGAGTCGACTGTAAATTCATGAGCAAGTTTAATTCCTTACCATAACAGTCCACTTTCTGTTTTCTGCCTCCGGCCATATGAGTGAGTTCTTACTGTAGAAGACCTCATCATCAACTTCTTCTGGTTTCCTAGGCAGGCAGTGAAGGAAAGTCCAGTCTTTATCCATAACATCAGTCATCTAAGAGGAATAGAAATCAAATCAAATTAGACTCATGTTCCTCAAAAAGCTGAGAGGTCTCTGATCAATTTCAAACAGTTCCGGACATTAGTTAAGGATGTTCATTACTTCCTGCACGTGGCTCCATGAAGAATGCTGGGTTGAGTTGCATATATCTGATCACCTTGTTACATATAGAAGTGGATTATGGTGATGGATGAATGAGCATCAGATTGCCATTCATAATTAGCTCCAATGTGTGGGAAGTACTGAATGCACCTATGCCACAAAGTGCATTGTATTCATAAAGTGGGTTTTTTTAATATACAATTACACATAAACCTGCAGCGTCTCCTGAGAGCGCTAGACGTAATGAGAACAGCAACGTTTAACACTCAGTCTCTCATGTCCGGCAGGACATCAAATCAACTCCCTTATCAAAGGCTACATCGCGGGGATTTAACTTATTTCTCACAAGGTAAGTTACTAACTTTTCTAGTTATGCGCACGATATAACAAAACAATTGTTGACTGCTGTGATGTGGGATGTACTCTTTTAAACCTCTCCGGGCCCATAGCACAATCGGCATCGCCTCGGGTGCTATATGCGCCCCTCGGGTGTTAAAATGTCATATCCTACATCACAGCAGTCAACAATTGTTAAATGGCATTCCTGAGTCTGCCTAGCTCTCTTTATCTCTGCCTAGCTCTCCTTATCTCTAACTGTACAGTTAGAAATAAGGGGATATGTTGCCATGTTTTTGTCAAGATTCACACTAGACATTCCTTAATATAATTTCACCTAAGCATCTTGAATTACTCAGGAACCTGATGTACATGATACAACTGTCCAGGCTATTTCTGTAATTCTACCTTTTTTGTGACTTGATAACCCTTGAATGCTTTCAGTCGCTCAGCTTTCTCTTCTTCTTGACCCATACTTATCCAAGTATCCGTGACAACAATGTTAGCATTTTGACAAGCTTCCAGAGGATCATTGGTTACAAAGATGTCAGTGTTAGCCTGGAGAAAAAAGGTAGAAGTAAACAAACGTGAAATTGATGAAAAGTCCTAAGCAAGCAAGCTGGAGGATAATGTGTGTAATGCTTTCGCACAGCTCTAGATTGTAACTGAATATCAGGTAATGAGATACGGACTCTCTCTTGTAGAGACCTCTCACTGATCCACGTGACCAGGGCCCAATTTCACGGCGCTGCTGAACAGTTAGCAGCAAAGTTGTGCTTATAGCATAGCAGAAAACTATGCTAATCTTAAGCACTATTTCACGGCGTGGACGTGCTAACGGTCGCGCGTGCATGGAGATTTCTATTGATACGTCACTAAGTTTTTCCTCAAATTTTTCCTCCAAAGTAAGCGTGCCTTTTGCTGTGCTTATGCTTACGGTCTCCATGAAATAGATGGAGGCTCTGTTAGCAGAAAATCGTGTGCTTAGCAGCGCCATGAAATTGGGCCTTGGGCTACATCCAGGTACCAGAAAGTCGGTGTCGCCATTGTAGTAGGCAAAAGCCTTCAAACCTGTGATGGATTGCAAAAACTGTGAGAAAAATGCAGAGTCAACTGGGTGGGCACAATTAAGGCAACTGTACCAGCCGTGTGGTTGTGAAGGCCTCAGCATCCCCGTCGTCAAACAAAGTAAATCCGATTACGTGCTTAGACGTAACAGAGCAGTGAAATTCATGCACCCCAACAAAACATGGCCTTTTGAAAGTTGTGTTGCTCAGAAAATACGCTCAGTATGATTGAAATGTTTAATTATAACAGAAGAAGAAATTCTAAACTTCATGTCAGTGAAAAAATCGCCGTCATCGATGTCGAAACGTCAATACTGGTTTAATACTGGTAAAGCTGACCTTAAAGTTGGGAAGAAGTCATTCGAAAACGTCCCCAAATCTATGTATTTATCTCAATTTCTAGGAATCTCCTATTTCACGAGTAGTTGAACACTTACATCATCTAAGTATATTCCGAATTTCAGCTTAATCTGTTGTTGCAAACGCTTGAATTACAGCTTTTTGACGAATATTTTTTGCCGACTAAACTCATGTGCATGGTTTTCAGGTTGGCTTGCATGCTTGGCCGTTTTTGGGCAGCATATTAGCATATTCATTAGCGTGACTCGGCGTGACTTGGCATGGGTCTCCGTATCGACCAATGGAAGCCAGCAAAAAGGGTGATATTTATCAATTAATAACTCGTGAAGGAGGCTATTCTGCAAATTTTCACTGCACACCATAATGGAAAGGAACCTTATTAATATTTGTGAGGCTTGAAAAGATTGACAGATATTGCAAACAACAGAGTTACAACTTTTAAAAAGTACTAAACATATGAAAACGATTTTTAGCACATACTTGGATCATTACAGGGGAAAGAAACCCTGAAAGCTGCATGAAGATACGGTCTTTCAAACGGGAGAAATTAATTATCAAAGATTTCGCCCGCCAACGTGATCATGTCTGTGTGCATGTTGTTTCATTCAAAGTAAAATGTTACGTAACCTTTAGAAATAAGCCATCACAACCACATGGCTCATACATGACACAGGTAGTGACCATTATGCCATTTAACAAAGAAATTTTAGTTATTTTACATGAAAACGCCTGCCTACTGCAATGGTGACTGAACACATGGAAACCAGATAGTCATGTATACTTTGACATCATATGATCTGACCCTACTTCCTATGATATGGGCCACAGCATCCTCCTTACTGTCTTGAGTCAGATCTACCTGGTTTAAGATCCATCATCTTACCTCTTTGGCAAACTTGACAGTATCTGCCATTACTTCTGGAAAGATTTCATAGCCCTGTAAAAAATAAAAAGTGGTACGTATACTTAAACATTATTTTACATGTATGTAACTTAAACATTATTTTCAATTTGAGCAAAAACTGAATCAGAGTGAAAAGTTCTTAAGAGCTGATGGAATGTAGGTTGGCAAAAACAATATTAAAAAAAGTCTTTTAAAAGAAGCAGAAAACAGAACCATTTCGCATCTCTGGTCAATAATTGTAATTTTTTTTTGCATATACAGTCGGCTCCCGTTATAGCGAAAACCACGGGACCGGCCAAAATCTTCGTTGTATCCGAATTTCGTAATATCCGATCAATGTTTCCCGTCCATTGTTCACCTTGAATTGGCCCTATTGTGCACGCTTGTGAACGTATGTAATGTAACCAATGACTTTTTCCGTTTGAAAGCAATTAAGAACATGCTCTCTGTGATGTGATTTGTCAAATAAAAAATAATGTATAAAATGTTTCATTGTGTCAAGTGAAAAAAAAATGTTTAATGTACGAAACGAAAATAAAATAAACATTACGAAGCGAAGATCTGACGTTTCATTGCTTGATCATCGATGAGGAAGAAGTCAACGGAGGATGACCTGGATCACTTCGATGTTCAAAGTAAGTAATCTCTCCAGCACAAATTGTGTAATGGAGAGACATTTAAATTGTATTGTCCTTTCGTCTTGCAGATTTCAATGTGACAATGTGACAAGCGTTTTCAAGCACATGGCCGAGGAACCTTTGTCATTTACATTCCAGATTTTCCGGTCCGTCCGTGATCTGAGTAGATTTTACAAATTGGTAAAGCGCCCTCATGAGTCAATGTCCTAATGAGTGATGATCTCATAATCTTACATCGTGATTGGATATTAACGTCAGACGATTTCAACGTCACGCAAGCGGACAAGCTCAATGGCGTGCACCAGTTCATTTATTCATAGCTTTGCATATGTATGCATAATGTCCAGCGTTGATGGTGATCAGTTTCTTATCGTCCCAGCAGGTTCCTTTTTTAAAAGTTACGAAATAGCTTAACGTATTTTGTGCTGGTGCTCAAATGAATACGTTTTTTAATAAGACAATTTTGGCAAAGTTTTGATTATAATTTAAATAAATAATTTAATTTCAGGACTGTCGACAAGGTGCTTGGAACGATTCCAAACTCCCGTGCGATGTCTCCCTTCTTGCGTCCTGCTTCAGTAGCTTTGATGATTTCCATTTTTGTTGAGAGGGACAGCCCCTTACGCTTAACCTTGATCGAAGTCATGATGATAACAGTAGTCAGCTCAAAAGTATCAGTAGTCAGCTCAGAAGTACGATAATCGTAATGATCACTTGTCATATTCTACACCCCTTATATCCAATATCTGCCCGACTCGATGACAAAAGACATCGTAATTACGCTGGACCAATCTGAGCTTTTGTTTCCCTTTCATTAATGCAAGCCGACAGAATTAGGTACATATTGGAAAAGCCCATTCACAAAGGTCACGTCTTGGATGAATGTCACAATGGCGATGTGCAAGTGGTGCGGGTGACTGGCACTCATCATCGGAACACTTTGATGATGGGCCTTTGTTGTTAACCGGCAGAATTAGGTACAAATAGGGAAAGCCCATTCACAAAGGTTGAAGTATGTTTTTGATTAATGGCACAATGGCGATGTGCAAGTGGCTCGGGTGACTGGCACGCGTCTTTGCAACACTGCGATGACAGGCCTAACCGCAGCGTGAGATTAACTTGACTGTGCGCCGGCAAACCGATTAGCACCTCCATCTGAATACATCTACGTCGGCAACATGAAACTACTCACACAAGACGGACACCTGCTGATTACTAATACATTGTACTGCTTTCAAATACCTTCGGTCGAACGAAAAAAAGCCGTGCACCAGGATTACCTTTCGTTATAAATGGATCGCTGACAATGCATTTTTACGCAACCGGGTCGCCAAAACCTTTCGCTTTAACAGGAATTTCGTACTGTCCGTTTTCGTCTTAAGCGAAATTTTCCCCATAGACATGTGCACAATTTTGCCGGGACCGAAGGTATTTGTTTGTAATAACCGGAATTTCGTTCTAGCCGTTTTCGCTATAACGGGAGCCGACTGTATGCTTTCCTAATTGGATGTAGCTTCCAATGCTTCATTTTCCCCCCGTTTTGTTGGAGTGGATATCAACGTTTTAAAATCTGCTTTCATAGTCCAGGGAAAAATCTGACGAAACTACAAACTAGTGAACAAACCTTAGGAGTAGCAATCTTGAGGTTGATGCCAAGTCTAGGTGCTGCCATCATGATGGAATGAATGATGTTGTTACCATCACCAACCCAAGCTAGAGTTAGTCCACTTAGTGAACCGTAATGCTCCTGTAAAAGTCAAAAGAAACACCAAAGACAAAAATATCAAATTAGCAATAAAAAATCATTTGTTACTAGAAAACTTGAGGTAAATGACAAACCATCTTGGGAATTCAAAGGTCGGTAATAAGTCTTGGAGAGTATGCTAGGACTGAAACATCCGGCCCTTCTGTGAATATTTTGAATTTGCTGTTTATTAACTTGACTATTACCTGTAATGTGAGCATGTCAGCTAATGACTGCAGTGGATGATAGATTTCAGATAACCCATTGACAATGGGTACAGATGCCTGTTGAGTCAATGTGATCAGATCGTCATGGCGATATACTCTGGCAAGGATGATATCAACAAAACCTGAAAGAACTCTGGATTGAAATGGAAAAAAATATATCTGTATTAAATAATTTTGTAGATCTGTGGAACTATTAATACCTGAAATAATTTGCTTAAAGATACAGTCCATCATTTGCAGCTATCCAAAAAGTAACTGACATAATTATTGTTGAAAAACATACTTGGTTGAAAGATAGTTAGGGGACTAAACTCCCTGTGAAATTATTCTTTCTGGCAAGCTGTCATTTTGAAGAAATCGACAAAAAAGGCATTTCCAACGGTGCGTTGGAAATTTCCGTTAGTAGTTCGTTTTTTAATTTGGCGAAGCACGCGCAAGCGTTGGCACGACGTTCACGCACGCGCAGTTGCTATAATTCTGGGTATCATCACTGGAAGTAAAAATACATTTTGAGACTCTTAACTACGTATTGTCACGCTTGTAATATAAGTACAATACTGTGGGTTAATGAGAAGCCTGTGGAATGAAGTGTGCAGCCGTACTTACTTGGCTGTGTCTGACAAAGACTCATTGACTCCAAGATGAATATCATTCTGGGTCAAGAAAGCTGGATGACCGCCAAGCGCTGCAAAACCTGCACAGAATATTGGAAATCATTCTATGGACTACACAGTACACAAACATATGAACATCTGATCCCTTAAATTTTCATTAAAAGTCCATTTCGCCATGAAAAGATCTTTAAAGAGATGTTTCACGGACATTTACATGGGGCTTATATAGGACTAATCCTGTAAGGGTATTTTCACGTTTTTTTAATGACCCTGGCCACTGAGGATTATCATTGGTTATACATAACGGTACACTGGGTCTATTTCCATGGGTAAACAAAGGACTTTCTTAAGGGTGTTTTCACAGACTCCTAATCTGGCTTAAAATGTTGAAAAATCCGTGAAATTTAGTTAACTGTAATTTTAAGGGAAAATGGCTCTTTAACAAATTTTTAAGGAATGAAGATGTTCATAGCATGATGATAGTTTTTACTCAGTGCAGTTTGTATGTTTCGATAACACCCTCTTCCCTATTACAATTCACAAGAAAATTTGATAAATCAACTAAATAGTATGCATTTGTGTGTGGGATAGTTGACATGATGCCTGTACCTGTCTCTGATGACATACGTGTCCTAGTACTGCGCTTCTCAAAGATCAATGCAGCAGCTTTACCAATCAGTGGCTGGTAAACCTCTCCATTGTTCTTGATACGTTCCTTGAGGTCAGCTGCTGTCCACAGGAGCTGTTCAATGTCATGTTTGTTGAAGTCTCGCAGAGTAAGAAAGTTATGACCAACAAATGATGTCTGCTTCGGGTCAGAACTAATGACAAAAAAAGAAAAATAACACAAATGAAATACAAACACTGATCCTGATAGATACTGTAGCAGAAAAACTGCACATTGGCCTTCTTTGGTTAGAGCAGACTCTATCATGTCATAAATTGTCATTAATAGGAATAATATCGCTCCGTTGTTGCCATGGCATTAGTTACTTTTACGACCCCTTTCTACTTTTATGTTTTGAACACAATAAACACCTGGCGAAGGCCCGGTTTGATTTTGTTCCTTTCTGATCCATGGGTCTGAAGATTTAAAAGTGAAGTGGAATCTGCGAACCATTGGGTTGACAACTGCTGCATGGGCAAAATTCAACTTCTGTAAAAATAGGAATGGCGAAAATCAAGGGGTCCTAAAAGTAACTAATGCTGTTGCAAAGGATCGACCAATCAGGAGAGGATTCAAGTTTGCTTGAGATACATATTATATGTATCTTAAATGGTGCTTGTCACTACCCCTACAACTATGGGGCCCCATAGACTCTAGGGGTACAGGGGTCAACAATCATCCATGATTATTAAATACCTTGCCAAGTACCCTTACCCAACTCTTCGTACCCCTAGAACTCTGGGGCTCAACTAGAGCCCCATAGTTCTAGTGGGCACTCGGATGGCATCTTTTGTTATTTTAGTCCAAAGATTGATCATTGCAACAGCGATCGTGCGCGGCCTAGCGGTTAAGGGTCTCGTGTTTCAAGCAAGAGTCCGAGGTTCGAATCCCGATGAAGTAAGTGACTGATTAATAAATCGGAATAAAGGAAAGGAGAGGGTGAGAGTAGAGCAGGGAAAGTGGAGGGAAAAACCATAAAAGGATGCAACTTTTGGTGCTTGAAAATTAATTGAATAAAGTGGTGAGCCAGTACGGAATTTTTTCCTTACTATTTAATTAAATCATTAAATTAATAATAGTTATTGTTAATGTTATACGGACTAAGTCTATGTTCTTATTCCTCCATGGTCTATAGCCTAATTTGGTTTAACTAAAAATGCAACAATGGTCTGGAGGCGAGTAGGCAAAAAAAAAAGGACCAGGCGCTAGCGCCAAGAACCAGGCGCTAGGGGCCTACTAGTTCTAGAAAATAATTAAAACTTAGAAGGCACGGCACGCATGACGCACGGCAGTTCTACTTTTAAAGTTCTAGCCAAGAACTTGAAGAAGAACCACTCACACTCCTGCAATATTGCCGTGAAATGCTGCACTGCAAACCCTGCAAACGACCAGCTGTTTGCTAAAATCAAAAAGACCCTTCGGTTTGTGCTTGCCACTCCGAACTACTGACGAAGCAATCCGAGAAAACACGCCCGCTGACATAGTGCAAGACCTCACTTATTAATATTAGTGAATAGAAACAAAATAATGATATTAATTTTGTAGCAAGTATAGTGTACTCGATCAGCTTCGTTCATTGGCAAGCATGCAGATGTTGCAGAGCGTTGAATCGTCTGTGCACTGGGGCCGGAATTCACAAGTGTTTGAAACGTACGTGACGACGTCTGGATACAATTCCTTTGACATATTGGAAAAATGGCGACCGACGATTCAGACGTGCCAGGTAAACAACGCTTTATTTGACTTGGTTACCGGGCTCTGTTGCACGAATTCAACCATAATTTTTCTGATTTCATGGAGATTTTACGCCATAACATATTTTGTAATTGAGGTTAGAAGACTGAGTAGGCCTAGCCTACGCTAAAGAATCATCAAATAGACCCCCTATTCATCACATTACAGTTCGGACTTCAGTTGTCATGATGGTCGACATGGTCGAGTAGTTGAGTTGTCAGCTCAGGTTGTGCACCAATCCTTTTTCACATGGCCAGGTTGGACGGCGATCGTGTAGTGTAGGGCCCGGTGGAAAAAATTCCATACTGGGCCACCACTTAAAGCTCCTGCACAAAGTCTATGGGCCATGACAGAACATTTTGAAGTATTATCAAAGAATTTTTGCACTCCTTAATTGGCTTAAACAGTGTTTCTTCTAATCTTCATCATATTTACAACTTTTGGTAGGAATATGATGAGTGGTCATGGTGGTGGCCCAGTAAACATGGTAAAACTACTAAAAGGCAGTATGGAATTTTTTCTGGCCTGGTTCCTATAGTAGGCCTATAAGGGAACAAAATCCACGTTTAATATTACGCAGTGGCTATTGTTACGGCAGCCGTAACGCATTTCCCATTTTCTATCGTTACGGTAGTACTGCAACTTTTATAAAAACATGAGAAGAAAATATAAAATTAGAAGGAAAAAAGTGAATTTGAACGTTATGAAATTCGGACTTTATTTCCCTTTAAAAAAAAATCCTCCAAAGCCTCAGGTTAGAAAAGGGAAAAAATTGGAGTGCAAAACTGAGATGCGAACCCGCAACCTCGCGGTGCAAAATCCTACCCTCTATCGACCGAGCTGTCGCACTGCTCGCTAAAATGTGGGGAATCAAATAATTATATACCTGCGTGCGTATCAAAAAAGTATCGTAGAGGGCGCTAAACAACGGCTGCCGTAACGATAGCCACTTCGTTAATATTACTAATACGCGTCAGCACAGCGTCAACACAGCGTCAACACATGATAGATGCGTCAACACACCGTCAACACTGCCAAAACGCATTCTAAATTGACAAAAAAGGTATAGAACTGTAAAGTTTAGACTTAAAGAGATTTTTGGTGGATCAGATGTTACATTTCATTTACGAAAATGGAATTTTTTTCACGCGAAAAAATGATCTCTTAAGCAGCACTGCCATTGTCCGCCATCCTGCCTTCGCACGGAGTTTGGACTACACCATTTGAGATATGGGTGTGCAGGTTAAATGAAATTATCATGTTGTATGCGGATTCACACGTAATGGCCGCCCTTTGTTGATTCATTGTATAATGCTATCACCCCTTTTGCGTAATGGTATTGTCTGCGCTGCTCCTGAAGCAACAATGGCCAAGTTCGGGCAAGGACCATTAGTCGACTAGTGGTTGATTTGAGATGGGATTACAGTATGCTGATGACATCACTTGGGCAAGTAACAATATCCACCCGATAGCAACTGTGGAGAGGAAGGCACCTGAGGTACTAAAAGAGCGAAACCTCACAGTAAACACGTCTAAGACAGAGAAACACCTCATCAGTAGAAACGGAAGCAACACCAGTTGGAAGAAATGCAAAAACTTGGGATCTTTTCTCAACACTGAGCAAGATATTACCAGGAGGAAAATACTTTCGATGGTATCTTTCAACAAATTCAAGAATGTCTTCAACAGTGATGCAATCTCAAACAACACGAAACTCAAAACATTCCGCGCCTTCATAGCATCTGTATTCCTATACAACAGCGAACTATGGACATTGACTAAGTCACTAGAAGAGAACATTGATGCATTTCACAGAAGACTCTTGCGTTCAATCCTTAATATAAAATGGCCCAAGAAGATCACCAATAAAGAACTGTACAGGAGAACCAACGAGATCCCTTGGAGTACTGCCATTACCCGAAGACGTCTTAGGTGGACAGGCCATCTCCTGAGACTACCCGAGGAAGCTCCTGCCAAGCAAGCACTTCTAGAGGCAATCCGCAAGAACAAGCTACCAAGAGGGGGACAACGAACCACGTAGCTGAAGAGAGTAAACAAGGACCTGACAACCACGGGGGTCAACATCAAGGATCGATGCACGTGGCACGTGGCATCAGACAGAGAACAGTGGAGAACACTTACAGAGTGCGCGATGTCAGATCAACTTGACGCAAGCGCCTAGATGAGATGATGGTTGATTTGTGACGTACCTTACGCCTGCGCACTAATAGCAAAGTGCGAACGCTGGTCAAAACGTCATTGCAAAACGTCTGGATCCTGGCTCCCTGCTGTACGTTATGAACGCGCGCGGCTATGGTTACCAGCGATGCAACCAGCCCCGGTAGGTTGGTTTCAAATAGTCGACTAGTGTAGTTAACCATCGTCATGGTTAACTATAGTCCTTGCGCGAACTTGCCCATGGCTGCCGATTTCGGAGCTGTACTGAGAGCCAATTTTCTTGAACTGAAAATTGCAATTTTCAGATGTTTAACCTATTGATTTTGAGCCAAAATTTTATTTTTGCCCATACTGTTCTGTTTGAACACTGGTTTTGTCAATTTGAATGCGTTTTGCAGGTGTTGAAGCTGTGTTGATGCTTCTGTGTGTGTTGACGCTGTGTTGACGCTTATTAGTATGACCGGGTATGTCCTAGATAGAGGGCAGTGTTTTGATTTTTTTGTAGGTACATTTTGGTAATCTTTACCTTTAGGACCCTGTTCCTATACATGCCTATATAAGGTTAAGACTCACCAAAACAGCTGACTAAATGACGCTCAAAAGTGACATTCTGATATTTCTTGACACATTTGAAAAGTTGGCAATGACACCTTCTTGAATATCACCAGGTTTAATTTTGTAGAAAGAGGGCAGGGCTTTGATTTAGGCCGTATGAGGGGTTAAAGACACAATGACAAACAGAAATAATATCAAAAAAGCAAGATAGCAAACTGCCAAAAAAAGGGTAGGAAAGTCACATTTTCTTTGAAATTGCTTTCAAAATTACAACTAACATGAGTTTATATGAGAAATAAAGACTGCTTGAGCCTGCAAAAGTCACTTTGGTACTGAACAGTCATCTGCAAAAGTCAGTTTTGAACAGAACTTATAAAAATAGAGGTGTCCTAAAGATAAGGATTACCAAAACTTTGGGGTAAAATGACGATGACAGCGCGGCGACAACACGCAACCCGAAAATAAAGATGGCGATCACCGCGCGATGTACCTCTAGCACGCATGGCGCACTGAACCGCAAGGCACAAACCGCGCAGGAAAATCGTGATTTCTACCCCAACAAAACTGTTCAAATTTGCAAAATGGGTGTCCTTTAGAATTGAAAAAAGTCTGCTTTTGATTGTAAAGGTGATTTTTGAGCAATAAAAAACAGTTTTGACTCTAATTTGATCAAAACAAAACAGGGTCCTACACTACACGATCGTCGGTTGGACGACGTCTATATTGCATCCCGCCAGAGTCCAACCTGGGCTACTCGTATTCTTGGGTATGGATGACCATGGAGGAATACGATGATAAATTCAAGGCAGTTTTATGCACATACGTATGGGGGTGGTGAACCAGACACTCAACTTAAAATTATTTTTTTCTTCAGTATTTATCCAAATAATCAATTTTCATATGAATGCACATAACTGAGTTGGACCTAGACCCAGTGGGCGCTAGAATTCTCTTTTTTAATTTTAACTTTGGTTGGTCATACCTTATCTCATGTGACCCTGGAAAAATGTTTAAGACCAGCCAGCCGGCCAGCCGGTCTTTATCAATGATTTAAAACCGGCCACGTGACGGGCTCTCGACCAATAGGAATGAGTAAACTGGCTTAGATATTTATGAATATTTATGAAATAAAATTAAACTTTTAAACTTTTTGGGGAACAAAAGAAGAGATAATCTTAAAATTTCTTTCAAGGTACCAGTCAGCAGGCTCAGACAGAGGAACAATTATGATTGGTCAGTGTTTGGAGGCGTTGGCTTGAAATCTTTATTCTGATTGGCCAATATTGGCAGGGTCATAATTTTAGGGACTGTAAATGAACCGACAAGCATCAATCTGCGCATCAGTCACGCAACAATGCACAGCATTGTTTCTAAGTGGCCGCGTGATCGCTTGTCAGGCTTATGCTGATCCAAAGGTACTACCGGACAATTTCCATGTTATTGATCATCATCATTATTTATATATGTCTCTCAATCACATCCAGAAAAATGAAAAAATTCACATGGTTTTTTTAGCTGAAATTCGCCATCTCAAACAGGACTCAACTTCCGACTGATTTTTCACAAATAGGGCTCTTGCTTTTTGGTGAGTTCCTCAAAAATGGAAAAAAATGTTATATTAATTAGTAAATACAGCCACTTTTTGATTCAAAAATTGCACCTTATTGGAAGTGCAATAGTTTGGCGCGGCACGAGAGTATTCACTGGGTGCCAGGTTGATGTATTTCAGAATGGCTGTCGCATCAGTCTTTTGCAAAATAATGTAAATTGGACTCAAAATTTAGGTTGATTTTCCACATAAAACAAGCTCACTGATCTGAGGATATAACTCAAAAATTGAAGGAGCGATATAGAAATGTGTAAATAAACTGTCAAATTTGACTTCCAAAGTTGCAGCTAAATGTGATAATTATGGCACGGTGGGACCGATAGACTTGAAATAAAGTTGGTAATTAGCCCAGTTTTGTTTGCCTGATGCGCACCACGCCAGTGTGGACAGCTACCACGTACCGCGCCATACCACGATACGTGTAATGTATAATGTTTGGCTGTTCCCAGATGTTTTTGTATGCATCAGTGTAGTTCTAGATATTGGGGACGCTGACAGACAAAAGGCATGACTGTCTAGTAACTTGTCTGCAAGTCTACGGGGACAAGCTTCGCGAACGGTGCATGTGCTCGTCTGCTCGATCATGGAATGACTGTCGCGTTGGCGTGTTTAGGATGTCATTTAAACAAATTTATGCCAAATTATATCTTTCTAGTTTTTAAAAACGTATACAAAAAGAAAATCATGTAATACTAACTAGTTTCCATTGGCCTACAAACTTTTTTGTTTCTGATAAATTAGGCCACATTTTGGGCCCACTTTGAAAACATTGTTATAAGAAAATAGTGATTGCTTTTGGCTTGCAGTTGAGATGGTATGGAAGATGGCAAAACCAAATCGAATCACGTGATGTCGCCTCATTTTGATGAGGGGTGTGTGGTGCCCAATGTATCATTTGCTGTTTCCTCCTTTTTGTGGTTGGTGTATGACATCCAAGAGGATTGCTGTGGCTGTTCCATTTAGTAAACATTGTCTGTTAGCAATGCAAAGGCATGCCAAGTTTGTCCATACTGAAGTGAACCAACAATTTCATTACAGAAGAATTTGTTAAAGGTCCAATCTCAGTAATGCCTTATCCTATTATGTAAATTTGAATGGCTATTAGCTATTCAAATTTTGTTCTTCTCTCAATTGACACAAAAAGTGGATTTCAAAACTTTTTTTTGTTTATATGTGTGCAGTCCCTAAAAATATTCATATTCATGAATATGATACAGGTATGATAATACTGGAGTCTTATATAGCGCACGTATCTACCGATGCTGTACCTGCTCTATGTAAGAGCACAAGCACCATGTTCCCACGGTCAGGATTCGAACCCATGTACCACGGCACCGAGTCGAACACCGTAACCATTGGACCACAGCACCACATTTTTAAAAGCTTAACAGAATGAAGAGTCGTTGTGTGTGTTGTATCAGTGACAGGTCAGGTCAGACAGGTCAGGTTGGCATAGCAGATTCTCTGCTACAAGGGATTCCCCCAAACTTTCTTCATTCTGTTAATAAGCTTTGCAAAATGTTTTTTTTTTAACTAAATAGATTTGAAGTAACCAGTGCAATATTGCGTGAAAATATGATCACTAAATTCTTGATATGTAATCAGGAGGAATCAAATGAAAGTTTTGACTGGTACTCGGCCCAATAGGTTTGTACACAAATTGCCTGGTTGATTATTTGCCATCCATACCCAAGATGCATTGTGAATATCAAAAAGGTTGTAGTTACAGGCTCCTCTTTAATTTTGGACAAGTCACATGTAAGCTCCAATATGACTTCTGCAACCTGAAGCAGACTTCTCTTAATTCTACTGGCACTATTTTTTTTGAAAATTTCAAACAGTATCTTTCGGTTGATTGCATGCGAATCAATGCGGCTTTGTGCATTGACGGTGTGTCGCAGTGATTGCTATCTTAAGTTTTGTGTTCCTTTTTGCTGACTTTCTTTTCAAAAGCAAATGTTGTTAGTTTGCTGGAGGTCTTCTTGGATTCTTCTGGCAAACTAGTGTTTGCTAAAAGGAAACGTGTGCCAGCCAAATATTAACTGTTTTTTTATTTTGAGTATTCTAAACAAATACGCTGGTGCAGCTTAATTCTAACACCACCCCCTATCAATTGGGGGGGGGGGGGGGGGGCTCTGAAAATGTACATTTGTAGATATATATTTGAAATGTGTTTTATCCACTCTTTTTCTTGAATAACCAACAGAATCTGGCGCTGTCTTCACCTTTGGGAAAAGTCGGTTTGCAGACAACACTGCCAATAAATTTTGGATTCGCAATGATACTGTTATACAAGTGTCATGCGGTGATGACCACACTGCATTTGTTACAGGTTAGTTCCTTTGTTTCTGGGCAGCATGTGAACACAGTTTTCGGTTAATGGCACTTCAGATGTTAGTTCTAATGAAGTCTTTTCAAGTTAGGACTAGAACCTTTTTCTTGTGTTTTTGGTATGGCACTTAAACAAGACAAAGATGCAGTATAAAGATTGATTCAAGTTCGTAATTATGAATTGAGAGTGTCCCATTGTTGGTCATACCCAATTTAAAAGAGTGTTCTTTGTTAAGAAACTTAAAACATTGCACCTTTATTAAAATATTGAACAAGTCAATGTCATTGGGAAATGTTCCCAGTGATTCCTAGGTTACTGCAGTATGCCTTGTGTTCATTAAGAATCCGGGCCCTGTACAGGCCTATGCTTTGGCCTGGTAACCAATATTCATCACCTCCTGTATTTTAGTTAAAGTTGTTGTGTGTACAGCATTTTGTATATTTTTATCAAGTTATGACACTGTTGTGTTGTTTTTAGAGAGCGGTCGTATCTTTACATTTGGAGCTAATGAATGGGGCCAGCTTGGATTGGGTCATACTAAATGCACTAACAAACCAGGAAGCATCAAAGGTAAGAAGTAGCAATAGACAACATGGCTAGTCACTAAGGGAAATGGGGCAACGCATCAAGTGTTAGAAGCAGCAATAGACAACATGGCTAGTCACTAAGGGAAATGGGGCAACGCATCAAGTGTTAGAAGCAGCAATAGAATCATGTAGAGTATTAAATTTGTGTTTGCTTTTGTGCATTTCATATAAAAAAAAAATAATTATCTATGTATGTAGTGTGCATAGCCTGACTGAGCAAAGTTCACATTATTATGGAAAGTTTTTTTTTTTTTTTTTTTTTTTTTTTTTTTTTGAGTAAAATCCATATTTATTTCGTGATAACCTTGTGGAGACGTATTCACCTATAGAAATTGCTCTGTGGAGACGTATACAGTCTTTTGTTCTCTATTGTGCACATGTCTCCAGAGGGTACCGTGCACCAGATCACATGATCTGAAACTTAAACAAAGTACATGTAATTGTTTTTTTTTTTTTTTTTTTTTTTTTTTATTTATTTATTTCCATTAATTACAATATTGCAAATAATTATTACAATGTTAGTTATTACAATGTTTAGAAAGTATACATATAACAATCATAAATGATATACACGACATTGGTTTTGATGTACTACATGTATATAATGTATGTTAGAACCATAGGTTATAATATATCTGGTGTTATCACTTTGAATATAAATATACAAGTGTGAACAGCAGTAGGCATATTAATTAAAGAAATATACAGTTAAGTCATAAAATGTTGCCAGAAGTCTTTGTTTTTCTTTTGAAACTTTGCTCTGAATAAAAGCTCTGTATTAAACACATTAAAAATATTTATCCTTTTATTTTCTATACTCATTTTGATTCTTGCTTTATGTATCGAAAACATTGCTATCGTAATTATTAAATTAACCTCAGGTCTTCTATCAAGACCTGTTAATAGGTTTGACAATGTTGGTGTAATAAAACTACTTTTTGTTTTTTCTTGGTAGTAAACCTTTAATTGATTCCAAAATTCAATTGTTTGTAAACAGGTTAAGAATGCATGTTTATAGTCGTCAATCATGTCACACATTGAGCACAACGGGCTATTCTCAATTTTCCATTTATACAATAAATCTTTCGTTGCTATTAAACGATGCATGAGTCTGTAATTGAAGTTTCTCAACTTAATTTCTTTAATGTCGACTATTTTCTTTTTCCATGTGGAAGTCCAATTAATCTTCTCACCAAGTACGTTTTCCCACCACGTTTCAATCTGAGGTGTTTTACTTCTTTCGTCTATCAATATATTATAAATATTTCTAGTTGTAATGTTTTCTATATTACCTAGACTAGGATTAACATGAAGTTTAAAATCAACACCGATCTTTTCTTTACTGTCTACTATAATTGATAACCAGTCTTTTGGTAAGGCCCTTTTCAACATAAATATTTCGACTAACCAATTCCGTTTTGTGGTCAGCTTTGTTTTAAGATAGTTTATAGAAAATTCCCCTTCTTCGTTAAACAGATCATTTACATAAATAATGTTAGATTTTATCCAATTACGGAAAAATAGTATTTTACCATTGAAAGTTATAAGTTGGTTACCCCAGAGCAGTTGTGTTTTTATTTCAGTGGGACTAAATCGTTTCTGCATATCAGGTTGTGGATGTAGTTCCTGCCAACACAGAATTAGTTCTTTGTAAAATTGTGGTAACGACTGTATTATAGTTGACCCATATTTTGTTTTCCCAAAGTTCATGTTCAAAACTGTAAGGTTGGGACTACAGGAATCTAGGAAATATTTACAAAGGGTTTTCCATTTACCGCTTGTGTTGTTTAGTAGTTTAACTATCCAGTTGCATTTTAATGCCATGTTATGGGTTTCCATGTCGATGAGGTTCAAACCGCCTTCATCAAGCCTCCGTATGATAGTTTTTCTTGCAATTCTGTCTGTGCGTCCATTCCAAATAAAAGGAAAGACAAGTTTGTTAATTTTTGAGATATACTTTTGTGGCGTTGGGATTACGGATGCCAGAAAGGTAAATATAGGTAACGCTAGATTGTTTAATATAGTTACTTTGCCGGGAAGTGTTAATGCCCTTCTCTTCCATTGGTTTATTAAAACTGTACATGTTTTAATTTTTTCTTCCCAAATTAATTCGTAACATTGACTCATGTTTTTTCCAAAATAAACTCCAAGAGTTTTAATTGGTTCTTCTTGCCAATTTATCAATTCAAGCAAACGTGTATCAATAATCAAATTGCCGATAATAAGCCCTTTTGTTTTTTGAAGATTCAGTTTAGGTCCAGCAATTAGCCCAAAGTTTGATACAATACTTATAGTATTTTTTATGGATGTGGGATCTGACACAAAAATTGTCGTATCATCTGCATACATTGTGATACGCAAATTTGATGTTTCTGATAATTCAATTCCATTTATGTCTTTGTTACTTCTAATTCTATTAGCTAGTACCTCAGCAACGAGTAAGAATAAGAGGGCTGAGAGTGGACATCCTTGCCTAAGGCCTCGATTTAATGTAAAGAATCCGGACATGTATCCGTTGTTAATAATAGTGCTTTGTATGTTTGTATACAATGTTTTTATCCATTGAATGAAACTATTTCCAAAGTTAAATTTGTTGAGTGTTTCTTGTAGGAAGTTCCATTCAACCGTATCAAAAGCTTTTTCATAATCCAGAAAGAGGATAGCAGCATTTTTGTTATTACTGCGTAAAAAGTGGATGGTGTCATCAATCAATCTAATGTTATCTCCAATAAATCGTCCTTTTATATATCCGGATTGGTCTTCCTGTATAATATGGCCTATGACTTCAGACAGACGATTTGCCAGGGCTTTTGCAGCTATTTTGTAATCTATGTTCAGTAGACTAATCGGTCTCCAGTTTTTTAAGTTTGTGCGGTCACCTTTTTTATAAAGCAGTGATATAATCGCGCGGCGTTGTGAAATAGACAATTCTCCTTCCTTGTAACTTCTATTCATTGAATCAGTATAAAGTGTCTTTATTTGGTTCCAGAATTTGTTATAAAACTCTACCGTTATACCATCTGTACCGGGACTTTTATTGGTTTTTAAGTTGTTTAAAGCTCGTTCATACTCTGCCTCAGTAATTATTCCCTCACATTTCTCTTTTTGTTCATTATTTAATACATAGTCAAACTGTGTGTCGTCTAGATACTGTTTCACCTGACTTGTTTCAACAGAGTTAGAAGAATACAATTTTTGGTAAAAACTTTTTTCTTCGCGTAGTATTTGCCTTTTGTCTTTAATGATACGATTATTTTCGCTTTTCAGTAAAGTAATGTGTTTTTTGACTGCGTTTCGTTTTTCTAAACCTAAAAAAATATCGGCTGTTTTTTTCGCCGTCCTCGGCCCACTTTTCGCGAGATCTAACCTTTTGACCCTCAATTTCTCGTTCATATATTCTGTCTAGTGCGTTTTGGAGTTCATACACCTCCTCGTTTTCTACGTCACATTGTTTGTTTAGGTAATTTAATCTTTCAGTAATTGAACGTTTAACATTTTTTTCTACTTTTTTCTTTTGTTTTGAGTAATGAATAACGAAATCCTTAATTTCGATTTTACATAGCTCCCAACGGAGTCGTTCATCTTCATATTCAAGTTTGAGTTTGATTGTTGTCTTTTCCAAATGGGATTTCATTGCATTAACAAATGTTTTATCGTCAATAAGTGAACTGTTAAACTTCCAATATCCTGGTCCCCGTTTATCATCACATAAGGTAATTTTTATTGAAATTGCTTGATGATCTGTTTTAATTGCAGGTCGAATATCACTTGAGGTAATGGTGTCTGCCAAACAACGTGAAATAAGGAAATAATCAATTCTAGTTTTTATATCGAGATACTTTCTTCTGAATGTATATTGTTTATCATTTGGATGTTGTTCTCTCCATACATCTACCAGAAGTTTCTTTCTACTTAGTTCATTAACATAAGTTGTATCTTGCTTAAGAATTTTTATTCCGCCTTCTTTATCGCACTTATAATTTAAAACACAATTAAAGTCGCCTCCAAGTACAAGTTCGTTATTTTTCGGGACATATTGGGAGATCCATTTTTCAACCTTTCTAAAGAAACTTACTCTTTGTTTACACGTATTTGGAGCATAAATATTCATAAAAGATACAGGTTTATCCACAAGTGTTGTATTAATTAAACAGATTCGTCCAAAAGAATCACAATGAAGCCCATTTATGTCAAAATTGGCTGAGTTTTTAACAATAATGCTGGTCCCGCAACTATAAGAATCACCGTACGAATGAAAGCTTTTACCATCTTGAATATCATACAAATCATGAACTTCTGTTATGTTGTCAGTGAAGTGCGTCTCTTGAAGAAATATTATGTTAGCTTTTTGATCGTTAAACCATTTGTATAATGCTAATCGTTTGTTTCGATCTCTTAACCCTCTTACGTTTAAACTAATAACGTGGAGCGACGTCATAACGGTTGGATGATTGAACTACATGTCATTAACGTTACTCAGATTTATTTAGCTGGTGTTATACCTCTTGAACTCTTCTTCATCAGTGTCATACGCCACTTTGTCACGCTGGTTTGAAGATCCTTGGTGGACTTGCGCCCGTTGACTTTGTCGCTTTCTTCTCTTGCTGCGTCTCGATGATCCAGCGGTTCTTTCTCCAGTGTGTTGGTCGTCGGCGTTGGGTGTTGTTGGGCTTGGACGTGGTCTTTTTGGTGTGTCGATCTTGTTGTTGGCAGGTGTGACAGTTGGGTTCTGTTGAATGTGGCTCTGGAATGCCGATTCTATTACGCGTATTGCGTCTGCTGTGTTTGGGGTCGTTGGTGCATCAAATGTGCATTCTTGTGGGTCGTCAGCTGGCACTGGAATTGTCGCACTGGATTGTTCATGAGGTGGGGGTTTTGGTGTTGGTGTCATCGCCACAGGTGCTTTGTCTCGGTGTCTTCGTACCATGGCGAAGTCCGGACACCGGGGGTCACCCTCCTTATGTCCAACCTGTAGACACTTGAAGCACTTTGGGGGGTTCGGGCAACTTCCTCCATGATGGCCAAACTGGGAACAGTTAAGACATACATGGTTTCTCATTTCGTCTTCCCTTTCCTTGATTTTTTGTTCTTTGTGGTAGATTGCTGCGTTGAAACCTGCAATCTTCATTCGTTTGGGTAGGGGACGGGATGGTATGGCTATGTATACGAATCGTTTTCCGGTCTTAAAACGGGTGAGCTTTCCATGGCTGTCTCTAGCACAGTCCATCTTGACATCGCATAAGAGCTTGGCCCCATTTTCCTGCAGCTCTGGTGTAATGTCCTCATTGGAAACAGACAGTGGTAGGTCTGATATGATGACTTTGGTTGATTCGCCATATCCCGCTAAGAAGGGGTTGTTGTTTAGTAGACGGATATGTTGGTTCCGTAGGGTTATCCCGTGAGATAGGAGCAGAGCTCTGGCTTCCACGTTATTTGGATAAAGACGCCAGATGCCTCGAACAAACTGGGCCCCTTCCACGGTGTTATGGCCAGAAACTGACTCGGCAGCGATGCATATTTCGTATGTTGTCAGCTTGGTATTCTCCGTCTGTAGCACTGATTTTTGTTCGAAGAACAGAGGCCTTGTTATTTCGAGAGTGGCACCCCCTGATTTTGCAATGCTGGCGTAGGTTGTCATGATCCACAGCCAAAATGACTCCTTTCCTCAATCTCAAACTAAAGATTCGTTAACTGTTAACGTTTGTTGTAATCACTGAGGTCTTATGCACTTACTCTGTTGTTATCAGATCTTTTCGTCCATGAAAACGGCGGAAAATTGATCTTGATTCTCTAAATTCTGCGGAGCAGCTAAGAAACACGTCGAGTCGCTTGCGATCCCGGCATGCAAAATTATGGAAAGTTTGCACAAATATTGTTGAATTGAATTGTGATCAGAAAATACATGTACCGGGTAAATAGTATACGTGTAGAATGTACTTTGTATGGAATTAATTAGATAAACAAGTTCAACGCAAGTTTAGCTATATATGGGAAAAACATAGATAATACATGTACATGTATGTCTGAATTGATGTATTACTACAATTGTTCCAATTTATTCTCAGTGTATTCAAACATTGTGACCTGTTGGGCTTGGAATTTGAAATATTAAGTCAACTGTTTTATATAAATGTACAATTAAATACCGCATGAAGGAAAAATGGGTGTGTGAATTGCAAAAGTGACTCAATCAGATTGGTTTGTATTTTTTTGAGGAAATAATTGTAAAACAAAAGTAAAACATGTTTTGATTGATATCAGTTTGCCCAATGACACTTTGATTGTATGTATTGAGTGAGTATTTTTTTTTCTTTGTCTGTTCTTTTCCAATCCAGCTCTGAAGCATGAAGGTGTGGTCACGATTGGGTGTGGTCGTCTACACACCATCACCTACACCAGGAATGACAAGTTGTATGGCTTTGGGGGAGGAGGGGAGGGGCAGTTAGGTGTGGCTAGTACACAGGGATTTGATGCACCTGAAGAGATCCAGGAATTAGCCAATCACAAGGTCAAGATGATATCATGTGGCACAGAACATTCTGCTGTACTTACAGGTGCGAACACATTTCATTTTCAATCACTTGTTTTCTGCAACTGATTTGTTGGTTAATTGAATCATTTCTTCGGTTATCATTGACTTGTAATGTAGGCCGTTGCATTTTTCATAATTATCTCTAAATGGTCTAAGAAGTACATGTAGCTGCGATGCATTGAAAGTTTGAACGATTTTGAACCATCTTCTGTTATTATCAGCACATGACAAATAGCAGAAGGATGATGTGTTGTCTGCCAGATTCATATCCAGGAGTCTGACTCCTTTTCTGGCCACTCTTCTGTCACTACCCACAGAACCATTGGTAACATCACTTGTAACACCTCTAATGTCATATATCTCATTTCTTGCAGGGTCTGTGGAGTGCAGTATGTAGGTGAGACTAAGAATACGCTCAAGAAGCGTTTCTATGCCCATCGGTCAACGGTCAACACCAAGAAACTAGACACCCCTGTTGGTCATCACTTCAACCTGCCTAACCACTCCATTTCTGATATGATTTTGCAGGGCATTGAATCTCTTGGCCATCGCAAAGAGTCAGTTCGCCTCAGCAGAGAGAAGGTGTGGATGAATCGTCTTCGAACTATTCAACCACATGGTCTCAACATCCAACTTGGAAATGATTAATCCTTTTCTTCCTCCATTGTCCTCTGTTACAGATAATCCATCTGGTCTTCCTTGTTTGTGTTTACACATCTCCCGCCATCTTTCATCCCTTTCCACCTCAATACTGTCCCCCCCCCCCCCCCCCATCATCCCTTCACTCTCACACTCTTTTGTCCATTCCCACTCCCTGTGACCTTTGATCCTTCCCCTTTCTGGTCCCTCCCCTGTTTACACCAGACCCCTTGTGGTTTGCCATCTCCCTTTGTTTCTTTGTTCTCTCATCCACCCTCCCCTGCATCTTTCCACACCTTTCCCTCCTAATCCTCCTTTTGTGTTTCTTCTTTCAGCCCTGCATGTTTGTGTGCAGCCCCATGTTAATGTATGTATCTCTGTCATTTCTGTTTTAGCCTCTGAAGAAGAACTTGCTAAGTTCGCAACGTCAGGCCACATTAATTTTAGATTTATATATTTCAGGTCCATCCAGTCAGTAAGCAGTTTGCAGCAGTTTTACTTTTTTTCATTTTTCAAATAGCAGAAGGGTTTAAATAAGATTAAGACTTGAAACCCAAACCCTCAGACCATGATTATATCTTTGTTTTGTTCATATCTAGCTGATGGTAGCCTGTACATGTTTGGTAGTGGCTCTGAAGGGCAGTTAGGCCTAGGTGAGACTACAGAAACAGATATACCCAGACAGTTAGCATTTCCAGTTCCCATCAAGCAGGTCTCATGTGGCTACTACCACACAGCTATAATTACAGGTGCGTAATTTAACCCATTTGTTTTTAAGAAGGTTTTTTTTGTGAGTTAATGATTGAATGCAGAGTTTATTGTAATGATAAATCCTGTATTAAAGCTACAGTCCATCATTTGTAATTTGTGCATTTTGTTCGTTTGAAGCAACAAAAGAGTTCAAAATCTAATGAAGGATACTGAGCAACTAACCTGATGAAGTTTCAGCTAAGCTTCAGCTGTACATTCTGAGAAAAACAGCATTCTAAGATCTCAATTTCAAATCAAAAGTTACTGAATCATGTTTTGAATTGTTTTGAATTGCAGCTATACGCGACGTCGCGCACTGATCCGACGAATTACAACAACCGCGCGCGCGTGTGCGTCGTTCCAATACTTGTGCGCGCTGCGCTGAATAACAAAACGAACTACTAATTTAAATTTTCCTACGGTGCTTCTTAAGAATCACCGTTGGAAATGCCTTCTTTCGTTGATTACTTCAAAATGACAGCTTCCCAGAAAGAATAATTTCACAGGGAGTTTAGTTCCCTTACTATCTTTCAACCAAGTATGTTTTTCAACAATAATTACGCCAGTTACTTTTCGGATGGCTGCAAATGATGGACTATAGCTTTAATGAGCTTTTCCAAATTTGAAAACATCCTGTAAAGTGTGGATTGCTGCTGTAATACTTGCTACATGTAGGTCAGCATATTTTATTTACTGGATTACGAACATCACCTGAAATTTGGCAGGGTCGGAGGACGAAATAAAAATAAAAATAAAATTTTAAAATTCCCTGTTTTTTTACAAGCACAACGCTAGTACGCATGTGTTGTTGATGTCTCCTAATATGGCCCGGCCCCTAGCGTGGCACAATTTGATTTTTCGCCTCTAACTTTTACCTCAAATTTTACAGTAAGTAAAATTTTGTCAAACTCCAAGCATTCCCAGTTGTATGTAGGCCTAAACTTTGGATTTATCTACCTGTTATGAAGTTCAGTGAGAAATTTACTATGACGTGATTTTCCAATTCTATTTCAAAATGCACCTAAAAATAAGAAAATAATTGTCTTAACAAACAGGTTGTTGGATAGGTGAGCTGACATAATTAATAATGGTTGTTCAGAATTTGCTGACTTTAAACAAATTTTAAAAATGTTTTTGGGATTTTATGAGATTTGTTCAAGTGCGCCTTGTTAGGAAACACTCGGCCAATTTTGTGCCCTATTTCCGGACGCCACAGTTTGAATGTCGGATAAAGTTTCCTGACACTGAAATTGTTCACAGGGGTTCAACTGTTAACATTATTAAGGTAAAAGTACCAGTATGTCACTGGATGAATTTGAAAATTGTCAACAAAAAGGTTTCGCAACACTGTATGAGGAAAGTTGGGAAAACGTTGAAGTGCACCACGTCGGCCACTTTGGCATACATCCGTGTGTGATGAAATATGTACCTGTTTAAACACGTAATGCCGATGCTGTGGCATATGATGATGTCAGACGAGGAAAGCCACCACACGCTGGTCCCATGAATGTGCATGTGTACATTGTACGTGCTCAGCGCTTCTGCGCGCATGTGATTGGGTCGAATACCAGGGATACGTCTGCGATATCGGCTGCACTGCATTTTTAAATTATAAAAAAAAAACCCAGGAAACAAAACAGGAAGTCCTTTGTTGTTTATTTATTCAATTTCCTAAAAATACTGCGTCGGGGGAACAAAATTTGATTACATGTACAATCATTGATAATATTTTCCAAACATTAAAAATCCCTCGTCGGGAACAAAATAATAATTATTTTCTCATTTGATTTTTTCCCCCCAAATTGTCATAATTATTCAGAGTCGGCGGGTTCATTATCCAACAAATTAAAAAATGCTGTCCTTAGAATGGGTCTGATTTAGTTTGGAATGCTTGGAAAAACTATAGTCTTTATTCTGGATAGTTTTTTTCAGTGCAGTAGGTGATAGTGTTAGATCACTTGATGACATTTATTCCTGATCAGTAGAGGATGCTGGAATCACCCTGACACTCTACAGAATGGTATCATTGACCCAATGACATTGGCCCTGGGTACTACCACGTTAATGAACCTCATCATGCATATATGCATTCCAGTGTGTCATAAACCCTTGAATGTCTTTGCTGCAGATGAAGGCAAGATATATACGTTTGGAGAGAATGAGTTTGGTAAGCTTGGTCTGAATGATGATAGCGATAACAGCAAGACACCACAGCATGTTAGTCTTATCAAGGAGAGAGTCAGTCGAATATCATGTGGGAATAGCCACACAGCTGCAGTGACAGGTTAGTTGATCATATCTCTTCCTACTGTGTCCACAGTAGGTTCAAATGGGTGTTTAGATTGTTCAGAGCATTGAATATTGCCAGATTCCCACTGTATTGAAACCTTCCTTCGATCAGCCCTGACCAATAGTACTCTCTTTTGTCGTACAAAGTTGAAAAGTTCACATCTTAAGCAGTGAAAATATTGGATGGGGAAAAAGGGTTCTGTTTTACACATTGTGTTTGATCAAGTATGACTGCAAATTTGAATCCCAATCAATCACTTCTGTACTATAAAGCGCACAGCCTGTATGTATGTGTATGTCCACGCATTGTTCATGAGTTGAACATGTGTAAAGAGAGCGATCGTGCGTGAAGTAGGCATTTGCCCATGGAAGTGGGTGACTAGCCTGTGAAGCGGACGACAGACGGCAAACATGCCTCCCCCACGCAGCGGGTGAGGTGAAGCCCTCGTTAGTAATAACTGCCATTAGCAATAATTTATCATCAAATCCTTTCATACAGTTGTCCGTGCTGATGTACAAGTAGAAATTTGATATTAACAGTTCATATTTGTTTGGATGGCAGTTCATTTATTATCTGTACATACATGTACGTATGTTTACTGTTTTCAGATAATGGCGATGTCTATACATGGGGGGATGGTAGCTCAGGTCAGCTGGGCCATGGACCTTCTATTTTGGACCTCAGGAAACCTCAGAAGATTATGAAATTGTCCGGAAAGAAATGTAGAGATGTAATATGTGGAGAGAGTCACACAGCGGTCATCACAGGTAAAGACTTGGCTTCTCATTTCAGTTTAAATAATTTCGTAGAATATGAGACAACAACTATTTGCATTGATACAACTCATAAGGTTATTAACATGTTTTGTTTGAAATCTTAGGAACATGGGTATGGGACTTAGTGGAAATGTCTTCACTCCATCTATAGGGGTGTGCATCAGAACCGGATACCCGAGTACCCGCCCGCTGATGTCAGGAACCGTTTCCAGATTATGTGATCGGATACTCATAACCAACTTTACAAACTACGCAGTAACGTCTCAGAAAATGAAAGACAAAGGCTTTGATGGCCATTTGTGTGGAATTTTCAAAATGAAAACCAAGTACATGAGAAACCAAAACAGATTTCACGTTTATGGGCATTTTAAAATTGCATTAGCTTGCACTGTACACACTTGTATCTTGCTGCATTAACACTATGTGGTAGTGTTATTGTGCACACTGATCTTTTTAGTGCTGCAGCCGAACCGCCGAACCGAACCGAACCGAACCCAAATGTCCGTTCGGAAAGTTCGGCAAGTATTTGTTGACAGCTCTAGGTATGCTAATGCTTGCAATGAAAGGGCAAAATTAAAGCGCACGGATGATTGAATTTACCGTGTTGACAAGTCACCGCATTCATCTTCATTATTTGCAATGTTCTAGCAAGGCATACAATAGGATATCGGGCCGATACGCTTTGAAAAGATCGTACGCGCCTTGCGATTTTCTCAATGAAAAGCGTGCTCTTTGCATTCATCCAGCATGGTCAGTATCTCACACCCTGCTGCGCCATGTTCCAGCGTGACGTAGTACGGTTGGACCAAACCAATTGCGGTGAAGGGTGTGCTTTCCTCGGCGAAATTCACCAGCATGTTCAGTTATTTTCACCGTATCAGAATTAAAAAAAAAACCTTTTTATGGAGTCTGAAACCTTTCCCATGTTCAGAATAAGTTCGTACTTTTTGCAATATATTTTTTTTCGTTAAGAATGAATTCGAAAAACGATGTAATCTCCCAAAAGAGGGTGAAACACCCCTTTACAAAATTAATGAATCCGTCCACAATATGAATATTCATGGCAGTCGCGAATCGAAAAGTTATTATTTATTACGGTAGCTACTTGTCAGCTTGTTGCTAAAAAATAATTATGATTTCATAAGTTTGGCACAGTAAAAGGACCTGTTTGTTCTGAGAACAAAACTATTCAGCAATTACTGCCACGAGACAAGTTTTTAGTGCTCATCAGGGCATGCTCGGACGGGACGGAAGTCATCGGGAAAACCCGTCAGCACGTGTGGGAAAATTTTATGGCGATCGTGTAGCATAGGGCGGCGGGCCCCTGTTTTGTTTAGATCAAATTAGAGTCAAAAATGTTTCTTATTGCTAAAAAAATCACCTTTATAATCAAAAGCAGACTTCTCAATTCTAATGACACCCGTTTTGCAATTTTTAACAGTTTCTTGAGGTAGAAATCACGATTTTCTTGCGCGGTTTGTACCGAGTTGCGATTCAGCGCGCCGTGCGTGCTCACGGTACATCGCGCGGTGATCGCCATCTTTATTTTCGGGTTGCGTGTTGTGTCGCCGCGCTGTCATTGTCATTTTACCCCCAAAATTCCCTTCCAAAAATCAACACCCTGCCCTCTATCTATGACATACCTGTTTATTGAGAACCAACAAGTTTGGTCTGTCTAATAATTTTAAAGTGGAATTTGTTTCCTTAAGTTAGGAGTCGGGCCCTACGTCGATCGCCAATTTTATCATAGTTGCGGGGCCAGATAGGGCTGCGATAGGTAACACGGTAGCAATTTACGATGTTCATTTCTCAACGTCATCAAGTCAAATTATAACGGACTTTTGTTTACACAACAAAACTAAGATTCATCCTTCAACTTGTGTTGAATAGCATGTGGAAATTGCGGTGCCTATTTCTGTCAGACGTGTGCGTTACACACGTGTTTGTTCGAACAGGGGAACGGCCTATGTATGCTTTTCATTGTATGCTTTTCATTGTAACCTAATACATTGTATGGACATGTAAATTATGTATGCACTTCCAAAGTCGAACCGAACCCCGAAGTTCAGAGAAAAAAATATAGAACCGCAACCGAATCGAACCGAACCGAACTTTGAGGATCAGTTGCAGCACTAGCTCTTTTTTTTTAGCCTGTTGTCAATGGAAAGCCACTGTGTCCACTAATTTTACGAACTTTGTGGTGCTTGAAGTTTGTGGGTAAGAAATCTTAAAAAAAAAAAACTTGTTCATCGTAACCTGTCAACAAGGGCAAATGTTATTTGATATAGATCATCATTATTCTTGCACGCAACGCGCTTTCACAGGTCCCCGTTGCAGGTGTCTACAATGTGCCAACAACAGCGTTTGACGGGAACCAAGAAATTGACTGGCCAGTGTGGTCACTAGTTTCTATCCTGGGCGCATGAATCAGATCAACCTCAGCCAATCATATCCACAGGAAAATAGTAAAAGCTGTCACGCATGATGCACATACAGCCTGGCGGGAATTTCCCACGATGAGAAATGGCCGCGCTTTGTGTGGGGCTGTTTTTCTAGATGAGATTGTATTAGCTGTACACATTTACGTATGGGGATATCTTATGATGTGAGTTGGGAATGTCCCAAACAAAGAGTAGGTTACCCTGATCAATGCTGGCACGGAGACATTTTGCACTCATGGTATGGTCAACTATGGTGATTCTTCGACGCGTAACAAATTCAAAATGAAAATGGAAGTCGACAGAGGACGGATATTGGAATTGAACCACGCAGTTATAACATGATCATGTTTTCAGGTTCATTGTAAACCAGGCTATATGAACATGTGCTTGTACATGCACATGCATACATGTGCATTTTCGTGTAGGCCTAAACAATTTCTGGCAAACTTGTTGGAGCTCACTTACATCCCTGCATGACGTTGAGATATGAGACCTCATTATTGTGGATTCACAATGTCTAGAAGCACTTGGAGTTCCTTGTCAATAGTGTGGTAGTAATCCAATATCATTGATTGCTGTTGCAGATAGTGGTTCCCTGTATATGTTTGGTGATGGCAGACATGGCAAGCTGTGTCAAGGAGATGAAAGCTTTAGCAATCTTTTCCATCCAACTAAAGTCAGAAGGTTCAAGGGCTTCCGTGTTCAACAGGTAGGTTAGAATGCTAAGGTAAAGTGTGTCAAGTCAGACCATTGAAGGGGCTTTCATGTTGAACAGATGGGCTAGAAACCTAACTAACTTAACCTTAAAAGGGCCGGGGGGGGGGCGGAATCCGACTTTTTCGGCGATAGCCTTTAAAAAAAAAATTTTTTCGCAACCTGAGCTTTTATGACTTTTTAGCCTCGAGCCTTGCGCATCTTTTGACACCAAAAACATAAAAATCGGACTAGGGGTTGTCGCGCAGCGAAAATTTTTCCGGCGCTATGCGCCGTGAAACTGAATTTTTCCATGTACGCAGACCAGAATTGCCATTCATAGTATGAATAATTAATTAGCCATAATTCCAAAAACCCTTTGACCTTTGGTCGTGAAATTTCTTGGGTATGTTCATGAAGAGTTGCTCTATGCATGTACCGAGTTTCAAAATTGTTCGTCACTCGATGGCCGAGATCTTGGGGGGGCGGGCGGACCCCCCCCCCCCCCAGCTGAGAGATTGTCAAAATAACCCGGCCCCTTTAGCGTTAAGTCATAATGTTCGTGCTCATGTGTTTGACTGGTGATGGTACAGATGCTGTAAACAGTTAATTATATTCCGAGTTCAGTACAAATTTAAACAAGTTTAAAACTTCTTGTGATATAAAATACTGACCAATGACTAGTTTGGTAAACTCACTGTAGTGAATGTCTGTCAGTGATTTTGACTTCTATGAGTTGGAACCTAGACCAAGTTGATTTGAGCCAGTGTATATGTAGGACTTGGCCTGAAATGTTGGCAAGACTTACATCAAATCCCTCGGTTGTTTTGTCAAGGTATCGTGTGGAGGATGCCAGACTATAGTACGAGCACGACGGAAAGACAAATCCAATGGTGAGGTATCCTCAGACTCTGATGGAGAAACAGACCCTCTTAAGTTGTCTGGTCAAATGAAGAAGGGTATGTTAGCAGCAGCACTACGCAATGACCAAGGAGTTGACTCAGTGGATCTAGGAGGATCATTTGATGGATCAGCCAGGGGTAGACGGCGACAAAGAGAAGTAAGTCATATATCAGGATATTGCATCATTATATCAAGGAGAATGGACCAGAAACTATAGCTTCATGTTAAGAATGGACCAGGTGAAAGCAAGTCTATTCTTGTACAGCACAAATGTACAGTTCTGAATTGGATGCTTGGCCAACACTGGTCACAAGCAATCCACAGACAAGTGAAAGAGTTGTAGGTTCTAGCTACATGATACAATTGTTATGACGTCACACTATTGTTAAAAGTGTGGATTTGGAATTACGAATCTGTTAAACTGGTCACAAAGTGTGGATTCGGAATGACGAATATTTAGTAAAGTGTGGATTCGGAATTACGAATCCACACTTTGAACACGTCAAACAATTGTTCTCCATATTGAGCATTAATCGGACCGTCGGCATGAAAACTTTCCTTCCGAAAATTACCAATGCATCTTCACTGTTAGATTCTCCCCCATCACTGCAAAAACTACTTTGGGTCAGGAAGAAATCGTTGTCTGAAATATCCATGTTGACACAAGGAGCCTACACACAAAATGACTTGGTTGTACGGGTGTGGCGATACACATGCTAATCACGCCACAATGCTTGATTGCGTATAAGAGCCTAAAAAATTACTTGTAAATTACCCTAATGGTCACGACTCGACACGAGATATACAAGTCTTTTCATCTCCATTCTCTGGACTGTTAGTGACAATACTTCTTTTGACGCAATGGTTTAAGTCAAAGAAAACACTCGCAAGTGTGGAATTTACGAATTCACATGGCGCTTCGTGCCTTGTGAATTCTTAAATTACGAATCCACACTTTCTCGTGTATTCTCCTCAACATAATCTATAGTTAAGTGTAGATTTGTGAAAATAATCAATACTTTTCACAATAGTGATGTCACTGAGATCAAGGGTAAAAGTAGTCAGTAGATCAAGTGTCATTAAGGGTAAAAGTAGCTATTAATAAGGAGTAGACTCAGGGCTGATTGGGTGTGTCAGCTGGGGAAGACTGCAATTACTAGAGGAAAGTGAAGGACAAGATGCTTTAACATTATTCAAGGGTGAGGTTAACATTGAGCAAGCCATATACCTAAGAGGATTATAATGTGATTGAGATTAATGAGAAAACAGAGTCATTAAGATTACTGCCCCCAGTTATTGAACAATTGATATTATCAATGCTTATTCATGTTTCAGACATCTCCATTACCGCCCCTTTCTCGGACTCTGCCTCCTCTGGGTTCAGCTAAGGCAGGAGCTTTACCATCTCTCAATTCAACAATTCCAGGTGGTTCTGGTCGAAAGCTAGACCAGAGCTTGATACCGAACATTAAACATGAAGAAAATGGTAAGCCAGGACTGAGATGAATTTACTTGATGAATTGGCTCTAGTCTTGTCTAATTTCAGTGTCATCAAGTTTTCTAGACAATGATAAACTGATCATAATGTCCTCACTGGTTTGCATTGCAATTTTTAAATAATCTTGGCAACTACATGTATTTCCAAGACCTGCTGTATCTTTTTAGTAGCGAATGTCTATTAATACTATTAGTCGCTGCTTCTCTCTTGTGAACAGGCAAAGCCTTTACTGATTGCTAATCACATCTTGAATGGCATCTTGCAAGGCTCCGTGCTAATTTAGCCCCATGTGACCCTCTGAAGAAAACTCAAGGGATGACAGCCACTTTAATAGCTGATTATCTTAACAAAACCTAATGTTGCATTCAAATCACATCGTGCTAACAATTTCATGAAGTTTGCACCATACCAGACGTGATGAATAGAGTTAAATACAAACATTTGCTTAAGTTCATGGCCCATGAAAACAAGATAGTGATCTCAGAAATAAGAGCAATCTGGTGTGATATGAGGAAGTTCAGTTTGTCATGTTTGCACCTAACGAATATTGCCATTGTAGGTGCATTGAAATGCCTTCGTGCGACAATCAATTACACATTGTCAGCACCAGAGGAATAAGAGTATTTTATTTCTGTTGATGACTCTCAGAGGTACATGAAGAGTTGATCATAAAGAAGGAAGTGAAGACTGTAGAAGCTGCTCCTAGACTTGACCTATTGGAATTTGTGAGTAACTCTCTCCCTTTTAATTCATCTAAAAGGGATGTAGCCAGACTAAACAGAAAGCTTTTTCTCTGTACTGTCAGGCATGTCTGAGGGGCTTTTCCCCTGCAGACAAACTTTTCATTAAAACAAAAAGAAAATGTCAGTGCTTCCCTCGGCCTGTGTAATATGTCAACAGTGTTGAGGTCCTCACTTCCACGAGTCAATAACAAGTCATCCAGTTCCAAATCAAATCACTAGCTTTTGAAATGAACTGTGGCATATTGAGGATCATTCCTCCCCCATTACTTGTGACTGGACTTGTGATCTACTTGTGACTGGACTTGTGATCTACTTGTGACTGGACTTGTGATCTACTTGTGACAGGACTTGTGATTACTTTTGCTAAAACACTGTCTTTTGACATCTATAAGTCCATATATTGGCACTTCCATTTGTCTCTGTCCTGCTCATTTATCTTTGTGTTCTTGATTTATCAGACACATTTCTCAGAAAGCAAATCTGTGCAAGAGCTCAAACCCCTCCTAGATGCAGCAAATGGTAGTGCCAAATCACAGGTGTGTATGTGTATAGCTTGTAGTAGCCTTGGTCAATGCTCTCGTCGTTATTCGTCCCGTACGCGGTCAATCGTCGGCATATATCCTCACGGACTATGCACATGCATGTAAAAATACAGCGCGAACAGCGACCTCACGCGGCCACTATTTTTATGCAAATCAGTTGGAGACGATGTCGAGCCTTGGTTCAATCGTCCATGTGAGGTTTTGGGGGTGGTGCTCATTATGTTAATAGCCTTAGCTGACCTTAAATGTCGTTTTCTTATTGGTCGATCGTTGCGTGGAAACTTGCATAGTGAAACGTAGCACCATACATAGTCCATACACGTACACATTGTGTGTCTCTGCACACGGCACCAATGCACAAAAACTGTGGTTCCTGTCACGTCCGCAAAAGGCGGAAAAGCTGCAATTAATTTGATGACGTCCGGATTTACCAAGGTGTGATAGGACACTCCACATATTAGCCCCGCCTACATTATCTGTATTCGCATACGAGGTCGTGCGCTGGAAATCTAGCGCAAAGTAAAGAAAAACATAAGCTTTGGCCGACGATTGAACCAAGACTCGACATCGTCTCCAACTGATTTGCATAAAAATAGTGGCCGCGTGAGGTCGCTGTTCGCGCTGTATTTTTACATGCATGTGCATAGCGCATGAGGATATATGCCGACAATTGACCGCGTACGGGACGAATAACGACGAAAGCATTGACCAAGGCTAAGCTTGTAGTACCCTTCAGGAAAAGTCTGTAATCTTGAAATGTGTAATTTTATCAGCTGAATCCATATTAAATCATAGCAAGCACAGTTACACATCTCTTTATTCACATTTTACCAGATGGTGGCTTAATGGAATTGCCCTTTGTTGTGTTTTATGTTCCCTTCAAAATACAACAACATCAAACATTGTCAAACAACTGCGAACCAGAAATCACCTGCTGTTGGATCTTAGATTGATCGATATTGTCATATACTCTGATTATTTGACTGTTTTTGCCAGACTTCCAGTAATGGACCAGAGACAGAAGGTGTGGATGAGGTGGACTCAGGGAGACCTGCCAAAGCTAAGGTAAATGAGGTCATACATGTAGTCAGAGATGTGGTTATCATGCATGAACTCTTGGAAATGAAGCAATGTACTATGACATCTTCAGTGGTTGCCCTTCGTTAATGTAGCAGAAACCAACCAAGAGCTTGGACTCTGTTGATCTGGCAAGTGAATAAAAGATCTTTGTTGTAGCTGATCTGTTGGATTCAGCAGGATGCACATTTGGCTGTTTTTGTTAGTTTGTTACATTTAGCAGGATGCCAGTAGGTAACCCAATGGAGGTTAGGGCTAAGTGTGTAGCAATTCTGGCAATATTAACAATAATAGTGATTGAACTTTAATTTTATAATGCATTTCATTGATGAATTTAGAAAAGAAAAGAGCAAGGGTTGCTGAAGCAACTAAAACGAAGCATGAAATTGACTTCTTCTTTGCATGGTCCCCGCAGATTTAATCATTGTAAAGTATCTTCATTAGGTTTGAGTTGAAGTGATTCATATCCATATTTATACTTGTTTGAATATCAAAGTATGACTTTTTAATGTCATTGGTTGTCAAACTAATTTCTTCCTTAACAGGAAAATACCAAACCGGTACCAAAGGAAATGACTGCTGCAAAAACTAGTCAAAATAAGGACATTATAAATACTAAATTAGGATCAACCTTGAAGTCTAAGAAGCCAGAGAACCATGATTCTGGAGCTGATTCAGATGAAGATTCAGATGAAGATTCAGATGAAGATGATGAAGAGGAGGATGAGGAGGATGAGGATGACAATGACGGGGATGAAAACTCAGTTGATGTTAAGGCTGCTAAAAGACCTAATCCATTTGTTAGTTTGATGCAGGTAGAGTAAGCCAGACATACTTGGAGTGTATGTGTCAAGTATTAACTATTCTTCCAAATCTACACGCGCACCCTTGCACTACTAACAAAACGTTGTAAGTGTGACTTGATCATGCTGGATAGCTAACATTGGCAGTCAGAGGCAGGCTTGGATGCTAACCACATAATCAGTGTCTGTCTGTGTCTCACTAGGAGTGTGTAAATTAATATTCCTTAACACGCACGTTAGTGACTTAGCATGAATTGTCTTCTGTGGGCAAAACCCTAAACATTGAGAATATTGAAACAAAGACTACATACCTCTGAGTGCCAGGATCCTCCCCTCATACAAACGGCCTGATACACCAGACTTTCTGCCCAATACGCATGAAAAATTGCTGATTGTTTTTTTTCTCCAGATATGCCCATAATTTTGTTCCACACCTTTGCATATGTAGTCTTACTTTGCGATACCTTGACAAAACGTTGGCACTATAACCTAAATTCTTGTGCGAGCAGATGTAATCAAAAAGCCTAAAATCTTGTCTTGCAGTGGATCTCAAATGCTGACCTCTGGACACGGAGTCAATCTCAAGTATTCACCACCCAATGTGCATGTGTATGTCCTATGTGCAGTACAAACTCCATGCAGCTGAGGCCGGTTTCATACTACCTCCAGACTGTAATTAACTGGACGCCAATAGAACATACTCATCCTTATGCGCGAACTGTTCTTTGCGTACTATGACATGTGTAATACGATTATGGCCCATTTTTCATGAACCCATTTCTGAATGCTTAACCTTCAGCAGTGCTTGCTAATGCAATGAAGCTGCAAGATTAACATGTTTGACGATATTCATGTGCGACATGAATAAATTTGAGATAAAGTCAAATGAAGTTTGTGACTTGTTAAGAACTTGCTTAGCCCATAAGATTTAAATTTACTCAAGAGTGAAAACCATGCGATGTTGAGTCAGGCGCAGTGGCAGTAACTAGATTAGAAGGACACATTTAGCATGTCATGGGTCTCATTGTGTGCAAGGATCAGCACTATATGGTAGCCAGTGCCTTATAGGGGTCGTTCAGACACCGTTTTAAATTCCCTTAAAACACCGGTTGAACTGATTCAGTGTAACTTTCTTGCTAAAACGATTTCTGAACGATTGTTTATTTAGACCGAACCGAGTTGAACTCGAAGATAAAACGGCAACTTAAACCCCCTCGGAGGGAGGGTTTAGCGAATAACCAGAACGAGTTTATCTTCTAGTACGATGTCTTAGCTAAAACGCTGCCCGTTTTAGCCAGCGCAGTGACCCGGAGTTACGTAACACTTTCTCCGTGGCGCGCTTTTGTATTAAGCAAACAATGTCGTAATTCTCCTACCGTTAAAAAAAATCCAATTTCAAGTCCAATTTCCACAAGTTTTCTGACCACATGGTCCGAGTTTCACATCGTGCTCACTTGCATAACAAACGTTTAGATGCCAACGCAACAACCGCTAATCGGAGCATAATTATCATAATACAGTAATACATTCAACTACCAGGAAAACCGTGGCGTTGATTGGTCAATATTGCAATGTTAATAACGCGTGTATTTTCACGGGACTGACATGTTGTGCGGGCAAGTTGATGTATTAAACCTTGAGTGAAATCTGTTCAATGACGTCTTGTTTCGAACACTGGTTTTTCGAACAACTTTTCAGAACATTTTTATGTCTTTTTGCACCACGAAAGCTACAGAAAATCCCCCCCCCCCCCAAAAAATGTAACACAAAATGGTGTATATGTAAAGCCGATGTACGATACTTCCACAAAATGGGGAAATTGCCGCGGTGGACAAGTGACTGTCGTCATGTTTACATTACCGGCGTGCCACGCTACATGACCGGCCGAGGCTGCGATGTCAAACACGGCATAGCAACACACATCACACGGTGAGGGGCTCAGACCGCGTGTAGCGAACTGTAAAAATGGAAGAGTGAAGGCTCTTTTTAGCAAGCAGTTTTTGCCGAGGCGGATGTTTTACGTGACCTTAGAAACTGAAATTAACTGCTTCGAGTTGAACTTTTTATATTAAAAACGATGTCTGGACGCTCGGTAGTTTTATTTTTACGACGGGCCTCCCGTGGTAAGCGACCGTTTTAACTTTTACTGTTTTAGCTAACACGGTGTCTGAACATGGCCATAGTGACTTGTCCTGCAGCAGCGTGGTGTTGGATTTGGCAAAGTATGAGCATGGTTGTCTGAAGAGAATCATAACTCTTTGGTCCTGCTATTTCTAACGCATTTCTTGTCAGCTTTTGAATGATAAGTTAAAAAGTTGAACCTCAGTCACTACAAAAACTATTGACACTTTTTTGTTACTGCCATTTCAGTCTATGTAGTATTACATAAATGTTTTCTTTTTTACCATTTTTCACAGAAAATTTGTAAAACAAAACAAAATATAACAATATATTTGATTCAAATTGTCTAGTTTGAGGGTTGTTGAATATTCAAGTAGTTTAATATTAAAAACCCATAGGAATGAATTTCTTAATTAAGCCCTTTTCACACTGGAGCCTCTCAACCCGGGTTGAACTCAACCCTGGGCGAACCCAGTGCCGCCCCGGGTTGAGTTTTTTTAATTATTTCAACCTCGCGTTCAACCCCGCATCGTTTCATATTTGTTTCATGCAAATAAAGCTTATCATGCTCAGTCACTACTGTTTTGAACCCTGGCAAGAATTTCAACCCGGATTGAAAATCTCAACCCTGGTCTAGAGCAGTGCTGAGTTCAACCCAGGGCGAAATCAATCTCAGGGTTGACGCAGCGTTGAAATTCTTCAAGTGTGAAACGATGCATGTTTTCAACCCTGCGTCAACCCCGAGATTTGTCTAGTGTGAAAAGGGCTTAATAAGGGGGAGAACCCTGAGCACTTTATCTATCTTCTCTGGTATTGGCTGGAAAGTGCTGCAGAATTTCACAAGTGGTATTGTTAGCACAACATTCAAAAGGAAACTTTTGCGCAGTATTTCAAAATCTCCAATAAGCATTGTTTCAGCTTGTATTTTTTCAAGCTGAAACTTACGATTGATGTCACAAAATCCTTTTCTTGTAAATCAAGTTTTGATGATTGAACAGTGATTGAACAATGATTCCTTGCAACAATGTCAATTTCCTGTAATTAGGCCACCTTAGCTTATGTGGCTGCTTGTTTCAAAATCTTATAGAACTTGCTACAGGTTGTTATCTTGAAGACTGGGGCAGGATGACTTTACAAATGGCAATTATGTCCATTGAAAACCATGGTTGCTCTGATACAGTGTGCTTTACTAACCCCTTCCTTTTCTGTCTTGAGAAAACGTGTGTCTTTATCCTCTTTTATCACATCTCTACACCCTTCCTTTCTTATCTTTAGAACAAGATGTGTCTTTCTCCTCTGTTATCACATCTCTGCATCCTCTGCACTTCTGCAGCTGATTTCATAAAACAGTGCGCTGCAGTGTGTAGGATTTAAGCAACAAATTTGTTGCTCAGCTGCTCAATAAACTTACGATTGATTTTACGAAACGTGGCATAGCTGCGCAACGTTTTATATCACTTAAACATCTTGGGTTATGTTTAGGATGCTGTAGCCGTACAGATACAAAAATGTATGCCACAAGCAATTGAATCACTATTGTTGGCACTTGGTTGTTGGCTAAGTTGACTCCCTCACTCCACGTTGAGTCAGGGGTATATTAGCTAGCACCTCAGGGCCAATATGTTGCACTAGTTTATATCTAACCATGTTGTGTCTGTATGTATGCTAGCCTTGATGATTAGGACCATTAATCCCATCCCCATGGTACTCATACTGGAAATCTTCAACCCTGAAACACTGGGTAATTTCTGGCCTTCCCACAGCCATGCGAGGTTGGGAGGGGGAGGGAATTGCGGTGGTTTTGTAATCATTACTACCGAATGGAAAATGAATGAGCACTTCGTCTTTTGCATTGTTGATGAAAATAGTTTGTGCTTACATACATTTGAGCATCAGCCATTATGCAGTTTTGATTAAATTTTTGAACATCATTTACAAGACATCAGTGGTAATACTCATCAGGAAGTGGAATAAGAAAGTGACATTGAGATTTACCCAGCTCTCTAGACAAAGATGAAATATTGAGGTTATTTTCTAATTCATTGCATCAATAAATGATATGTTTTGAAACTATTGGTTTGATACCTCACAGCCTACTCCAGCACCAAGGTCCAGAACTCAAGCAAAGAAGGTTCTAGAGGAAGAGGAAGATGAAGAAGACGATGATGAAGACGATGAAGAAGATGACGACGATGATGAGGAGGAGGATAGTGCATCTGAAGAGCAATCTGCTCGGAATGTTCAGAGTAAGGATAAAAGTCCAGTCCATCCTTGTTAATGTGAACAAGTTGAGGCATAATCCAAGTTCAAACCAAATATAAGTCCTTTGTCCCAACTACTCTGTGCACATTCCTTTGGGGGGAAACTCATTTTACATAAAAACAAAAGCAGAAAGCTTTTGTTAAGACAAAGCTGGGTCTGTTATTTGACCTTGTAGAATATTTCAACAATCACCGATATATATGATTGATCAGTAAACGTTGAATCCAATCTAAAGGTATTAAGTCAGTTATTAAGCCCCCCCCCCAAAAAAAAAAACAACCCCAAAACCTATCCTGTAACCAACCTTTTGATTTATGAAAGAAGACTTAACAAAACCAAATCCAACAGATCTTAATTCACTCTTTCCTCCCTTGGATCAAAATGTAAATCTTTGAGTATTAAGCCCTCCATCTTCTACACACAGAAAAATATGTTTGTAAAAACGAATGTGTCATCATGTACGTGACTTCATCACTCAAATACCATCTGGCACATAGTTTGCATCACAAGGGTGCAGCATGTTGTGCAGCATGTTGTGCAGCATGTTGTGCAGCATGTTGTGCAGCATGTGAGATGTGAAGGGTACACCTGGGTATTTCAAGTAGTTGAGGTGTACCCTACACATCTCACATGCTGCACAACACGCTGCACAACTTGCTGCACAACATACTGAAGTCATAACTGACATCTTTTGACTCATTTGTAAACTCCCTTTAATACCTTGCTACAGGCCTCTCCTCAAACACTAGTTCCTTCATATCACCAACATGAGGTCTAATTGGCATATATCTGTGACTTTTTCAGGCAAGACAAAGGCTGGACTGGGTAATGGAAGGAGCTCTGATGAGGATGATGACAAGCAAGAGACAAGCAAGACATCAAAAACTAGCAAGAAGACAACGAGTAGCAACACAAAGCAGACTAAGGTACAAGATGAAGATGAAGATGACGATGACGACGATGAAGAAGACGAAGAAGACGATGATGATGGAGATGAAGATGATGAGGATGAGGATGAAGATGACAAAAATAAAGGAGGTATTGTCTTATAACTAACTGTTTGGAAGATTAACGCTGAATATGTGGCATGCTTCCACATTCATAAATTAATTGTGACCATCTACCAACAACTGGCTGGAAAGTCAAACATTTCACATTTTGAGATCAATGCATATTTGGAAAGAGTAAAACCTCATTTTTAAAATGATAACAAACTCACTACATTGCTATTAGGAAACTCACTACATTGCTACTAACAAACTCACTACATTGCTACTTTCCTATACAGCTGAACTTATGAGATATAATTTTTTGCATGGTAAATATATACAGCGTACCATTTGTGAAGTATTCTTTTGGTACAGTACAACTCTTGAATGCCAGTCTGCATCAGGTGTTAATTTCTGACAAAAACATGAAAAAGCCAGCCAAATTTCCCAGTTTTTGCCATAGATCAATAACAACATGTGTGACTTCACAGCTTGCAAGTGGTGGACAGTCACATTTGTATATCAGCCTAACATTTGCATTGATCACTGTATAAACTTCTACATCACAAGTTAAAAGTTGAACGAAGATGCTCTACCAACTGAGCTATCTAGCCCTATGTTGGCATTTCTCCATTTTTGTCAATGTCTTTGTTCATGTAAACAAGTAAATTTGAATACGAATGAATGGATTTTATTGTGATGTTTGAAAATCAGTATAGGGAAAACAACAATGCAAAGACTGATACCTAATATGATGCATGAGTGAGAACATTGAATAGTAACATCAAATAGCCTGTGTGCAATTAAGCATCGATGCTAACACACGAGTACCGATGTGTACGAGATACTGACTTGGAATTTATTTGCAAAACCAATATCTTGAATATTGACAAAGTAAATTACAGTGATTCAAAGATGACTGATTTTTATTTTTCAAATATTTCACTCAGATAAAAAGTCCACAAAACCTGACAAGGAACTTTCCAAAAATGATCTTGAGAATGAAGACAAGAAGAGAAGCCCAGAAGTTAAGAAGAAAAAGGGAAAAAAGGAAAAAGAAACAAGAGAGGATGATGAGGAGGAGAGGAAAAGAGAAGATGGAGATAATGATGAAGAGGAGGAAAACAAAGATGAGACAGAAGGAGCCAGACAACCCGATGAACCTAAGGTATAGTCAGTCTTAAACTTTGCCATTACTTTGCATGTACAGTTTCTTAGCAGTGTTGTAGGAATCAAGTCCAGACACAGACTCGAGTCCAGGCTGAAGTCCACATTTCTTTACAGACTAGGACTCAGATTTTTGGGATTCAGACATGGACATGGCGAAGCGGGCATTTGCCAGCAAAGCACGAGGTGAAGCCTCGTTAGTATGAAATTCACAAGAATTTTTCAGATGTGTCGGTTTTTTTTGGGTATCTTGCACTTGATGTTCAAAAATCAGGTTGTTACACTTTTGATCTTCCTTTTGTCAAATTATCTCCATTGGGCCTAAAATAATTAGAATTATCCTGTGGAAAAAACTTTGCTGGCTCTAAAATTACAAGACTTTTCCATTTTTGCGAGGGGCTTTTAGTTTATTGAAAGAATATATTCTAAAACACCAGCCATCAGTGTCATATTCCAAATTTGAAACCTCAACATTTTGAAGGACTCGGTCTTAGACTAGTAGGACTCAGACTACATGTAGTCGGACTCAGACCTGAATTGTTAGGACTCTGGAAACAAACCAGAAGGACTCGGGTTCAGACTCAGATTTGGATGTGGTGGACTGGACTACAATATACAACTGTTGTCTGCCTGAGGGGTGCAAATGGCACCCGAGGTCAAGCCGAGGTAGTCATTTGCCTCCGAGGAATTACAAAACCTGTGAAATATATCACTCTGTCTGCTGCACAGACAGAGTGAAATGGTTTAATTATTAATGCTCACTTGCATACATGTTTTGTGTAGTCAGTATTAGAAGCCTATTATGACTGCAAGTATGTCAAACCTACTTGGGTTTAGTCAATAGCATTGGACATAAAAAACATTGAATAAATACACGATATTGTGAACAGCTTGAAGGAACATTATATTCTCATAAATGCTGCAACTGCATCAGTTGTATGCTTTAGTGTTGACAATTTATGCATTTGTTTTTTGCCACCCCAAACCATCTCGCTTTCACAAATACTTCACAATGAGTGAAACTATGACGACTGATGATTTGCACGATTGTGCATGGAGATCTAGGAAACGTTTCTCTTAGGATTTATTGCCACTAGTTGATGAAATGATGTGAAAAACAACTCGGTTAAAAGATGCGGAACACAATCCAGATCTTCAAGCTATAAGCTCTATAGATTGGCCTACTTTGAGCATATTTTTTTTCTGGTCATTCATGTTGCCATTTTTGTATATTTATTTTTCATACCATTTGTGTCGACATGCGGGCAATTCTATCATTACACCATCATGCATGTTCCTCTTCCATAATCTGTAAGTTCCATGACACTCATTGTTCGTATCTTAATTATTGTTTCAGCTTCATTACTGATATAACTTTCAAATACATTTGTTTTCTGTTTAAATTTTTGTACACAGTCTTATAGTTTCATTTGTCAACCCACTGTTTTTCAGGCCGATGTCCGATGTTGATGACTGAACCTCCAATGTCAATGAGGATTACTGATAATAACGGCATTTAATATTCCAGCAAGTTTAAACAAGACTTGGGTTGCTTTTTACTTTCCTTTCAACCTCAGGCTTGGCAATTCTGGAAGAAGAAGACCCCTACTTCAAGAGTGGAGAAGTCCTCCAGCAGTGTCTCCAGCGAGGAAAAACCAGCAAATCAGAACAAATCCAAAACCTGTTCCATTTTATAGCAGGGAAGGCGAGTTTGTTTAACAATTGTTTAGTAGTTTTATTGCTGCTTCTGAAATACATAGCAACAATTTAATTTCACAAACATGACACACATCCTCAGATCACCAATGCCAACCTTTGCTTATTAGGAAAGGTGACTGGAATTCACTCATAAATACTGACATTGACAAGTCACAAGGGTACAGTCCATCTTGATAACTTTCTGCTTCCTTTTTTTAAAACAATTTAATGATGAATTTATGAGCAGAAACAGTTGAAGTTCATTACTGAGTAAACGGTGTTTATACGTGGGTGCAGGGCAAAAGCTAATAAATATTGAATTTATTATCCCTCCCATTTCTAAAGCCAGAATGCACATATTTTTTCCCCATATGGTTCAACAGATTGCACCGTCTCTGACTGCATGCATATACATAGTGGAATGAAGGGAAGGGCTTTCAAAACTTTTAATAAGGAAAAAAAAAGCATTTGAAACACCAATGGGAGGCAGCAGATGTGCAGACTGATTTAAAGTAAACCTCACTTCTAATCAGTTTATCCATGCTCGATTCCCAGTCAGGCCTTATAATGTACATTTCATTTGATCTTTTAAGTAACATAAATTATGAAGGAACATTTCTTACAAAACGTAAAAGGTTTGTGTTGTCAAGAACAAGCCTTTAGATCTGCAGCTAATGGGCCAATCAGAAGATGGGAAACCAGAACCATATGGCAAAACAAAGTGTGAAGGATACAAGAGATGAGGCTTAACAAGGCTGTATGTAACACTACGCAACAACATGTAATAGCTTGTGTGAGTAGAGTACATTGACTTCATTATGTAAGGTCCCATTTTAGTTGAGATCACACTTGGTCATCCAGTAGCCATTGTGAGATATGATGGACACTAGAGCAGGGCACTATTTGGTCTGGTTCAACTCTTTTGTCTTTACCAAAATGTACCCACTGCAAATAGTGCCATTCCATTGGGTTTGTCATTTCTCAAAAACTTCAGTTACAGGTTTGTATTTTCAGCTAGAAAAAGGATCAGCTTTGCGTTCGTAGTTTTATGTTATTTACTGATGATGTCACCTGAAAACAGTCCCTGAGTACTAATGTACATTAAAGCAACATTTTTATGTATAAATGTCTAAATTTGTAATTGTTGTGTACATAATGACAAATCTGTAAATGAACTAATTTATTTTTATGAGTAAGTTTCAAATGTACACAAAAATCTGATTTTGTGTTTGTTGTAATTTGTTGTGGTAAGACATCAGTTGACATTGAATGCATTGTGTGGTTAAGTCTGAACAATGTCTGCACTTTTAAATAGCATTTTTGTATCCATAAACGTTCAATGTGTTTCTTTGAAATAACACACTTATGTGTGTGACATTGCTTGTATGAAATGGCAAGTGATGGCTGCATTTCATTTGTTTATGGGCAAAACAAGTAAAGCTGTTTACCTGGATTTGGATCATCATTTTTGATAGAACAAAATGAATTTAAAATATGCATTTTTCTTTTCATTTGTCCGGTATAATGCCAATGACATGTATGACTGTGTGCTGCATTGTGTAAACCATGGAGGTGTGGTTATGTGGGCAGGTTGGAGTTGGGACGCGGTTGAAGGAGGTTGGAGTAAAAAATGTGTGGATCACAGATGTTAAATAAGCATAATATTAGTGTCAAAATTCATTGGCATTACATTTTTGTCTTAAATGAAATGTTACCCATCGATAAGACAAAAGAGCTTTGGCGCCTTTGTGTAGCTACCGGTACACACTGCTGCAATGTGGCATCACTACCACACCAGGTCAGGCTCACATCCTGGATAGTTCACATGCAGTCCCTAACAACACATCTCACATATGTGTATCAAGGTCTCACAGACAGCAATTCACATCCCTAAATTTAGCAATTTACATCCCTAAATTTGTTCTTTATATTTACAAATAAAATGTAGTTGCTTTACAGCTGATTGTCACCACACTAGTGAGAGCCACAGTTGATTGTTTTTTTGCTTCTAGTAGTGTCCAGTTGATCATAACAGTTTGGTATTGATGTGCTTATCAAGATACTATGTTCACCAGGGCACCATGATCAGCCCATGATGAACCAATAACCATGGTCGTGCCGAGGTGACATGACTTCAGCAGCCTATTTGTAGATTGTGTTGGTGTTGTCAATGGCAACCTATCAGTCAGCATTGACTTTTGCCACCATGCCAACAGCTCCTGTCCTTAAGACTAGTCACCCGCTGCACAAAGGTGCTGTGTGTATGTGTGTACAGGCATTGCAGGGGTTGTGTGTATGGGTGTACAGGCATTGCAGTTACTGTGTGGACCTGTACAGTTCCACACAATGCTAGAGACAAGGGCGGATCCAGAACACAATTTTTGGGGGGCAAAAACAAATTTTGGTCCCCCAAAAAGTGGGTCCAAAAAATTACGGCGTGGGGTCTGGGGCCCACTTAACGGCCTCGAAAAAAATGTTGGATTCTACATGCTCTGTGGTGCGATCTGAGGCAATTTCTTACCACTTTGACCAATTTTTCTTGAGGAAAAGATGGTGGTGTACGCAGTGCCTGCCTTTATTGTGACGTCACTTAAAAAATAAGAAATAATTTTTTTGGGACTTATAGGGTTATTTGTTTGCAAAATGAGAACCTTCAAGGAAATCATGGTCAAGAAATCAGTTTCAACAAGTGTTTGCAGTGCAAGTGGCAATGTTTTGAAATGTGTTTTCTCACAACTGCTTGTGAACAAAGGAATCCCCACACAACGTAAAATAGGTCCGTGTGTGTGCGTGTACAAACACTGCCTTGTGGGGTACCGGAACAATGGGAGGTACCCCACAAGGAATGCCCACCGACTTGCGGGGTACCGTTTTGGTACTCCACAAGTTTTTCACGAAATAGATATAGATAAAAATTTCCCATGCTCTCATCTGTTTCAATAACCTGGATGCCATTTTTTCACAATATTTAAATGGAACCTCGGTATCTTCTTATCTTGTACTTTTTGAATGAGTGGTCAATGTTTTGCAAAAGTTTAATCAAATTACATTAAACGCCTATTTTCTTAATTTGAAAATATGGATTCCCTTAACTGCACACTTCATGCTTCAGCAAAAAATTCTGAGTTAGATGTACATTTTGTATTTGGGAAGAAAAGCCAATTACACGTATTGGTATTCCTGTGGAGCGTACCTACTGGATACATCACAAACCTTTAATATATTCCCTTTGATTTAAGAAGTCAGCTTCCTGTCTGTTAAAATGATATGAAGGAAAGCAAACTATTAAAACTGATTAATAAATACCTTGGAGAGTTGATAGCTTCTGATTGGTCGAGACTCGATCACGTGGGGTTGCATCAAGTTAAAATGTGATATATAGACCAGCTTCAAAAACAAGAGACTAAAATGGCCCCTGAACCAGCGTTGATCCAGCATCATGCAAGTCAATGATTGGCCAAATATACAACAGTCCTACGGTAGCTTGTAACAATACAGCAGTACACATGCACTCAACCACCATCGTGTGAAGACTTACGCGTGCATATGAATTTGAAACCAGTTGCTATGCGGAATAAGTCTTCACACGACATAAGTGTGGATCTGCGATTAATTTTCTGTATACAAGTCGCCCACAGACATATTTACTTTTTCTAAACCGAGCATCTTTATAATTCTGAACGCAAGGAATATATAAGCGAAATACCAGCTTCCTCCGTCGGGTAAAAATATGAAAAAAAATTGTTGTAATTTGTTTTGCTATGGCAGCAGGGTAGCATATCGCAGGCATAAGCTAAAATATGGCCCGTCAACAAGCACACAAAAAGTCTGGAAATATCGCCGAAAGAAAAGTAACAAAATTTGAGCATCATGATTTAACCGTTTATTTCGTTAAAAAGGAATTTATTAATGGCAATAACAGTGTAAGGAGCCAGTCTTCACTGCGTGATAATGATCGTGTCCATTAACAGTGGCCAACCCGGTCATTATCACGCAGTGAAGACTAGCTCCTCACACTCTTATTCCCTAAATTACAATTCATTAGAGAAAGAATCTAATGATCCACAGAATGCATTTCACAGATGTGTATAAAATAGGAGGGGGGGGGGCACACACAAATGTCTGATGGGCACAACTAACGTTATTCATGGTGTACATTACATTACATCCTTTATTTATGGTCAACCAGTATAGTACAAAATAATATGTAAATATCTTCCTACTGAGTGCAACAATACTTACAAGATTATACTCTGTCAGTTTGTAACAATTTTTCATTACAAATCCATCAAACAAAGGCCACTTACATTGTAGGCAAAGTTAAGCCTCCATGAGAATGCCAGCTACATAAGTACATCATGTGTAAATGTGATGGCATGTTTCTATAAACATATCCATGACACATTTTTCAACACTTAAAAGCCACACTTCTATTTAATTATCTTAACTGGGCAGCCCATTCAGTGGAATCCACTGGTCTCCCATGGGTCCCAGTAAAGAGAAGACAATGTCAAGAAATTACAGTTTTAGATTTGGGAGGAAAACCCAAGAAAAATGTTCTGAGAAAAACACACGGAATCATGTAGGGACTGAAAACCCAATCCACATATTAGCCCAGGCAGGATTAGAGCCCGGGTCACAGTGGTTTGAGTTTATCAAAATTGTCTGATATTGGCAATGCGATGTCTTGTAGTATCAGCATTTCATATGCATTTGTAGAAATTGTTTTAGGCTTAGATCTACCTATAAATCTTGTGATTAAAATAATACCTTTTAAAAAAATAAACCACCAGTCTTTACAGCAAATATATTAAGAAAAAAATTTAAACAAACGTGGACTGGAAAACAAATCAGTGTCAGAAACACAATCCAACTTATTTAACTATTGGTTGATACAAGCATGATACAGCAATGGTGAAGCTGAATTGTGTTACAGCCCATTCACACAGCACAGTCAGCACAGTAACATAAAGCAGCATATTACATCATGGTAGTGAAAATCAACACACAGCATTATTACAAACTCTGTTAATACAAATTCTGGTTGAAGTGAACATAAAGCCTTGGTCCCGACTGTGCATTTATGTGCACAATGAAGGAGAATGATCTTCTTCTTAATACAAAATCCTGATACATGTATTTACAAAGATTTTGGCTCAATCCAGTTGAGTTTGTATTAATGAGAGTCAACTACAGCACTATGTTATTGAGTATGGACGACCTGGAATTGTTTACAGTGACATGCTGGCCAGCTCCATGCAAAAAAGTGAAGGAAAATTCATTTAGATTTCCAAGCATTTTATCTGGTAATAATGGTATCATTACAAGCACAGTGTAGCTTGGCCATTGAACTAACATGTCCCAAGTTTCTCCCCTGCTGAATCCTGTTACTACGGTTTCTGTGTGAATTGATGGCAAAAGTAGAGCACGGGGAACAAATCTTTAAAATTGAAATGTCAAGTTTACCAATGCTACTCACTTGGCATGTAATCCACTTCCAGGGCCGAGATACTCGTGAGGAAAGTAGGGATCATGCAAATCAGTACTTTAAATTACAAAAATCTTGATCAGTCATAAACCTAGAACATTTGACTATGCTTTGCAAATCAATAACGCTGACACAGAAAAGTAATGCAAAGCCAATCACCTACCTTTCACCAAAAGAACCAGACTACTGAATTTACTGTTCATGAATCACAATATTCTTTTAGTGTACGAAAGGCTTATTGTTTACAATGGTAATTACATTCCAGCTGATTCAAGTTAGTGCTGTGCCACCTTGTACATCAATGTAAAAAAACTCAAACATGAAACACAACTAATATTGCATGGTATCAGACTATGCCTATTGTGTACACAGGTTGTTTTTTGGAAAGATTTGTTCCATGCAAGGATTGAGGGCTCTAGTGTATGTCATCCGGTCATATGTGATATTTATGACAAATTTGTGCATTAAATAACTTCTTGGCATAAGGGCCCATGTGAAGTACGACAGCTGGACTCCACCTTCCAATCCTATTTGTGAATGAAGGATATGGGACAGTCAAGATAAGTCAACTTTCCCTCAATTTGTGCACTATAAAATGTAGCACATTCGCAATAGAAATTGTCCTTGTAATGTCATCTTGACCTGTAGAGGGCCACACTGGACTCTGTGCATGGACAGTACAGTAGATAGTGGCTATCCCTTGATGAGTGCACTCTGGTCCATGTATGTTGCAAAGTATGCACAAGCCCATAGCATGTTAATGTGAACGTTGGGTATTTAGAGGCAATGGCATTCAAGATTGGTCCATAGAGCCAAAAACTAAACACTGCATTCTGGTTATTCACACACACAAAAATCAGTTTTTTTCTTCATGAGATATCACATGTAAAAATAGTAACAGTACTGCACACACACCAGATAGTAGGGTCAAAACGATGTCATTGTCTATTTTGCATAACTGCGTTATGTAGTTGTCCTTACACATAGCCTACAAAGCTGTGTCCAGGAGTGTGGAGTTATGTTTACAAAAGTATTTTCACAGCTAGACCAGCATGCATTGGGAAACATTGACTTGTTGACAGCAACACTCCATGAAGTGTTACCAAAATGACCGGACACATTTGGCCGTCAGAACCAAAAGATTTAGCTTTGTTGTTGATCAATGGTTGAATGTTTTTCTGACGCGAGTATATGCCCCTGTATGCATACTAAACTGTTACAATGAATGCTACATGTTTCATTCATCATGTATATGACATAGTCCTACAAATCTAATAACAGCAAATTTGTTTTCTATTTACCATCATAATAAATACACACAGGGATTTGTAATTAGAAAACTATACATGTAAATATACAATTTATACCTCGTACATTGATTTCTATAAAAGGATTGGTCAGAACTCTATCATGAGACAGTAGTTTCCAAAATAAACGTTTAAAGCAAGTACATGCATCAAAAGTAAAGTGCAGTTTTACAGTTTTTTTTTTAAATGTTTATATGAAATATATTGCGGTGCATTCCAATCACTTCACTTCATGTTACAGCATTGTTCATGTGCAAACAGTAGAACATAAATAACAGTGTAAGAAACAAGAACCATCATTGAACTTCAATGAATAATCTCCACCTCTAAGAGGTTGGATATTATTGGTTGATGTCACTGCTCTCCAAACCTTTTGGTTTCCAGATGGCTGAAATGTTTATAGAAATAAAAATAGGAACAATGAAACAAATGGTTCTGAAAAAAAAAGATGAGTACTTAAGATAAAAAATATTTTTGGGGGTATTTTTGCGCTTCCAGTAATTTCCAAGCCTTGCGACAGAAAAAATTATCTTTTGTCACTGCCTGGCTGTGACACGGCCTGGCTGTGACACGGCCTGGCTGTGACACGGCCCGGCTGCGACACGGCCCGGCTGCCACACGGCCCGGCTGAGACACGGCCCGGCTGCGACACGGCCCGGCTGCCACACGGCCCGGCTGCCACACGGCCCGGCTGCCACACGGCCCGGCTGCCACACGGCCCGGCTGCCACACGGCCCGGCTGCCACACGGCCCGGCTGCGACACGACCCGGCTGCCACACGGCCCGGCTGCCACACGGCCCGGCTGCCACACGGCCCGGCTGCCACACGGCCCGGCTGCGACACGGCCCGGCTGCGACACGGCCCGGCTGCGACACGGCCCGGCTGCCACACGGCCCGGCTGCCACACGGCCCGGCTGCCACACGGCCCGGCTGCCACACGGCCCGGCTGACACACGGCCCGGCTGACACACGGCCCGGCTGCCACACGGCCCGGCTGCCACACGGCCCGGCTGCCACACGGCCCGGCTGCGACACGGCCCGGCTGCGACACGGCCCGGCTGCCACACGGCCCGGCTGCCACACGGCCCGGCTGCCACACGGCCCGGCTGCGACACGGCCCGGCTGCGATAGCAGCAGAATAATCGTCGTCATTTCAGAACCATTAGTATATTTTTTTCCTATTTCTGTAAACTGTTTAGGTTCGGAAAGCTTTACTAAATATATTTATATTAAAGTAAAGTGCTTGGCTTTATCAGTAATTCTGCTTTACATTCATATTAGTGACATAACTGACACCAATTAGTGTACACACAGGATATCATACACCTACATACAAATTGATACAAACTTGCAATCTCATACTGAGCTCAACTTGACTAATCCCCAGTTGCTCATTCCTTGTAGAGAATCCCCACCCTCCCCTGCACCCAGCGGGGATACAGTCTGACCCTGTTTGTCACCGTCACCCATGGTGACTTCTGACCTAAGTAGAGGTTGTGTTTCTCTGGGTGTGGTTGGTGATGGGTGAACTGAATTGACTGGGCCCAGATGCAAGACTTTACCATTGGATGTCACAGCTGAAGTTGACCTTTGACCCATTGTGTCATTAGCTACGGTAAATGGAGATGGATCTGTTGATTGGTCTGTTAAGTTGCTCGTCATGGTAACAGACAAACCTCCTTTGTTGTCATGGTGATCGGAATCACTACTGGAAGAGAGTCTAGAATTTGAATCTTCACTGTCGGAGAAGTTCTGCATGTAAAAAAAAATGTAATATTGACACGACTTGATTGCTTGACATCAAATATGTAAGTAACAGGGAAGTTGTAAGTCAACCCTCGAGTTCCGTTAAGGTTTGGTTTGCGTTTGATTTGGAAAGTTTTATCCAAACAATTTGCTCTTTTCACGCTCCGCCATTGGGCCTGCACAGCCTCGATGTGGCAAGTTTACACAATAAAAATAGCCGGTTGAGTGATCTGAACCCCGACACGGGAATCACTGAACCGGCTATATTTATTGTGTAAAGTTGCCAGATCGAGGCTCTGCATGCTCATGGTGGAAGTGTGAAAAGAGCGAATGGTTTGGCTTGGGTTCAGCTGTTGGAATGTCAATGTGAGTTGCTAGAGACCTACCCTTGTTAATCGTCTGCACGTGTACTGAACCACTTTTAAGGGCTCTTTGCAAGACCCAGTCACATGCCACGCTACCCTTGCTTGCTAGCATGAATAATGTTTTTTTCCTGGTTTTTTTGGTGTTTACATTTCAAGCATTTACCCTTGGTTAGTATATAAAAAAAATGTCTGTCGAATTATACTGGTATTATGTCACAATGTTTGGATAACTGATAGGGGCAACTGATGCTGCTTGGGGGAGGGATAAATGTCCCATGTGTGTTCCCTCATTCCGAATGTCAGTTACACAATTGTAGTAATTCAACTACTGAAGCAATCATGCATACATACATGAGCAAGCGGAGAATAAGCAGCAAGACATCAATAACTGTTGGTAATCACAGAAGGAGGTTGTGTATCTAGGGGTGGAGTTGTCAAAGGCTCAGAAGGCGGGTCAGAAGTTACCGAGTCTTGAGCCTACATGATGCAATGGGCAAAATAATAAAAAAACAAACACATACAAACACAAGCAGGGTTAGCAGACAGACACATACAGCAAATTAATATGAGTGATGCAAATTAATGCAAATGGTATGAATGATCATGCTATACCTGTTTTTTTTATGGTGAACTTACATGGTTGAAATAACATGTCAATGTGATTGGTTTCACTGAGGCTTGCATTTGGCATGTGAAATCCCACACTTGTATGTACAGTGTACATGTATTGACTGGGAATGTTCTAGTGACAAACTAGAAAAATGGACTCCTAATACCAGTCTGTGACAGGTTGACTGTACACAATTGAAGACATGTTCTAGTACTCTTCACAAAGAGTTGTAAAAATACCCTTACATTTCATTACGTTCAGCCAGAATCTACTAAAAGGTTATCCAAAGTGTGTTGCATGAGCTGGTCAAATTAAACCTTTGGAATGGAATAATCTACTCTGACTTTAGCGTTGAGGCTTGACTTATCATTATGGCCTATAAATTTACTTTAAGCTACACGAAATAAGTGGAACCAAACTACTGCACATAAAGACTGCTATCTCATTCTCATGTGTTGCTTGATTACTGCTGCAAGGTCATGACATTTAACAAGAACGATATCATTGGGTAGAAATGTTGTCTTATTTGAATTCATCAATCACACATAGATTCACATCATGGAACTTGACTGTTAGTTCCCTCATGATATAACTGATTTGCAAAAAGTGTGAGTTTAATAAATAAGTGTCTTGCACTTTGAGAAAACTGACACGCATGTTGTGATGTAAATCTAACTCTTCTCATGTCCGTTTTGTTCAAACGTTTTATAAAGAAAAATATTCCTCAAACAAATTAGTGCAGCTACAAGTGTTTTACCTTCTCAGATTTGTGTCATTGGCAATTTAGTATCATAGGATTTCACATGAGCACATATACTCCAATGTTAGCATCCATGATGTGATCTTGTTAAAAACATTGAAACTTAAACATTATTGTAACAGCCAAAGAAAAAAATCATGCCAGCTATCTTCACAAACATAACAGTCTCTGATTCTGCCAAGAAAAGTTAACAAAAGTAGGATTTCTACTCAAGACATGGGTACAGGTATGTCAACAAACTAAAGCTAAATAACATCTTTGCATTATAGATGGGACTGCATAGGGCAACATTCTACGCATGCAAACTATGAAAGAGAATAGTCCATTGCATACTTACAACAGTGTTTGTAGGTGCAGCTGTACCATATGAATGGAGTGGGCGTGTTGGACTGGATGTTACAACAGCAGGGTCACTAGGAACTACAAACCCTCTACGATCTATCAAACTAAAAACACACAGAATATATTCTGATTGATAGCAAGTCTTTGTCTGACAATCACAAGTCAATCACACTTCCTACAATCTCCAGTCAAGTGACTTAGTATTAAAATTAACTATGACAATGTGAAAGGCATTCCTTAAAAGGTAGAATATATCATCTGCAGCTATCCAAAAAGTAACTGACCAAATTATTGTTGAAGAGCGTACTTAGATAGTCATGGCACTAAACTCCCTGTGGAATTATTCTTTCTGGCATGCCGTCATTTTGAGGAAAACAATGAAAGAAGGCCATTTCCAACGATGCGTCAAGTGACACATCCTTGGAAATTCCGTTAGTAGGTGGTTTTGTTATTCAGCGCGTTACATCTCTTAGCTGCAATCAGCTGAATGAGAACGTGTCCCGGATGCTGATTTCGGGCGCAATTCAAAACATGACTCTGCAAATTTTGAATTGAAAACAACATCCTAGAATATTGTTTTTCTCGGAATATACAGCATTCACAGAGCTAACATTTCCTCAGGTTAGTTGTTAAGCACCCATCTTAAGATTTTGAGCACTTGCTTCAAAAAAACCCCAAAAAACGCGCAAATGACAAATGATTTACCCCACCTTTAAGCCACTTTTATCCATTACTTGTGATTCTATTTTGTTTCTGGTGGTAATTACCTTCATATTTTGTTTCATTTATTTAATATCACTGCATTATACTTATACTATCCAACTTTGTATTGGTTTATTGGAGAGTTCTAAATAAATGTCAACTGAACTGAATGGAATTGAGAAATAATACTGGGACTAGAACAAATGCAAGGCATCATGTCAAGCTAGGCAAAACAGCAAGCAAGCTGAAGATCCCTAACTGGCCAACGACAACTGTTTACTCTCTTTTCAGGGGGCATATACCCCAGCACATTCTATCACAATGATAGTAGTCTGCCGACGTCCATATCAAGATTCCTTACATGTGTACCAGTTCCAGTACAGTCGACTCCCGTTAGTACGAAATCCGCGGGACCCCGTCAAAATGTTTGTTATATCCGAATTTCGTATTATCCGATGCAATGGTTTCCAGTCCATTGTTCACTTATGTGTAAGCCCCATGAACGTGCACGATGTTCACGTGCATAATCAAAGCGAAATAGAATATCGGGTCAGGTGTGTAGAACTATCAAACAAAATAATTATTTGAAAAGGGTTTGTGAAAATATGTATGTATGGTACGTATATTCTTATTCATTTGTGATATGTAAGTAAAAAAATTAACGAAAATTAAATAAAGTTATGAAAACCTTGAGGGTTGAAGACGGAGTCAACGTATCGACCGCCGTCGGAAGTGTGACGACCAGAGCATAATTGTTCAATGTAAGTAAACTCTTCTGCACAAATTGTGTCGTGGAGATAGACGTTCCTAATTTATTTTTATACAATGTACCTTCCGTCTTTCAATGTTTAATGTTAGTAGTCTTTCCAGCAAAAATTAAGTCCGAGGGCTAGACCTTCAAACCTTGGTTCATTTCTACATGTAATTTTCATGTGTTGATCCAAAAAGGCAACCTTATTTGCTTGCTTGTACCAGCTGATGAGAAAGCGCCCTCATGAGACAGTTTCCTGAGCAATGATGTCACAATGGTACATCGTGATTGGACCTTAATGTCCGACGAAATTTTCGTCACAGAAGTAACAAGAGCTTATTGGCTCGCACCATATTTTACCCACAATCCTGGTCTGCATAATGCAGTGACGAGACAATCGGTTCCTTCTCAACAGTTGCCATTTCAAATTTAACAGAACAGGAAGGGCCGATATCTACCTTTCGGTGCATGTTGCAAAAGCAATGTTTGGATAATGAATTAACAAGATTTTGCAAGAATTATTTCTGTGGTATGGGCTAAAATGATAGTTAGGATAAGTTTGGAAGTTCATGTTTCTAAGTTCAATCAGGTTACGAACATGAACGTAACTTTTAGACTTTTTTTATATGGCACAGAAATCGTTTGGAAGTAACTTTTTGGATGGAAATGATTGATCTGGTGAGCTTTCGTTCTTTATATTTATTTGCCAATATGCCAATCTATTTCTTTAACTGAAAAAAAAAGCCATTTGGATTTGTTGGGTTGGCTATATAATTCACTGAAACCTGCATCGGACAAACTTGTCCTGGCAGCTTGGATGCAGATCAGATGTCACATACTCAGTGATTGTTTCCGGCTTGTGGTTTGTTCTGTTGCCGTCTGGGCGTCATTGTATCATGGCATCATCAGCACATTTTCACAGGCCTTTGTTGGTAACCACAGCACTCGATTAGTGAACATACCACTGTGTCCGCAAGATTAAATAACTGACTAAACCCATTGATGATCGTAATAAAGCTGCTTTCAGATTAGGTCTGAAAGAAAAAAGAGCTGTGAAGTAAAGCTTTTGTGGTTTTAGATTTTTTTTGTAATAAATGGGTCGCTAACAATGCTTTTTTATGCAACGGGGTCGCCAAATCCTTTCGTTATAACAGGAATTTCATACTGTCCATTTTCGTCTTAAACGAAATTTTTCCCATAGACATGTGCACAATTTTTCTGGGACCGAAGATACGCGTTTGTTATAAACGGAATTTCGTCCTAACCGTTTTCGCTATGACGGGAGCCGACTGTATTACCCAGCCCCACACTTCAATCATTTAGGCTCGTCAAGACCTGATGTTAGCATGGAGTAGGCACACATATTGCCACAACAATAACACTCTTCATCGGCATTCTCTATTGCATGTATTTCATGCAATACTGACATGGAAAATGAAACCCGTCTGATGGTGACGCCATACAATGGGTCTGTAGTCTCTCTATTCACCAATGAGAGGACATGACCTACCTGGGTGCCAAGGATCCACATATAGCCATACAACAATTACTGATGACTGAGCCGTGACTGTAGGGATTAAAGGTTGCCTGTGATCGCTTGGATGACCAGGTGCCTTTTATCTACAAAGGATCACACAATAAAAAGCAATCACTCAATCAATACAGAAAATAATAAATACGGAATAAGACCGATGACGTCCTCTTATTCTGTGTTAAGAAATGTTTATGCTCAAAAGAAGATATTTTGAAGATAAAAGTTTTAGCATATTTTCACTCATCATGTGGCAATAATTGAATTTGCAAGCTACTTTGTATCAAATCAGTGCAGCAATGTGTTCAGAATGCTGTTAAATAAAGTGCTCTAAGGAATGTCAGCTGGATAAACGGTCCACAATTTTCGGCCAGTTCTGAAACACATTATTTTCCACCCAATTTGTTGTGTGTCATTCGAACCCTGTATACTTACATCTTCATTTGTGGTCTGGCTAGAAGCAACCAAATATGTATGGAAGCCAGCTAGTCCGAGCACAGACCAAATCGAGATGAAGCAGATTAATGCTTCGATGATGGTGCACAGTGAGTCAAGGAGAAATGCAAGACATTACAAGTGACAGTAAAGAAGGACTTCAGAAGGATGACAGACATGCAAGAAAAGGAAGCCAGAATTCGTCTGTGAATAGATTGTTTGTTTTGCAGTCATCTTTGAGATGAGTGCTTTTGTGCCAGAGGAATAGCATGAGCAGACATCTTGTGTATCCTGAATGTCACCGAATGAAAAGTACAAATAAAAAACATCTCACAGATGTGTCTATATCCCAAGAGTGGGGAACACACCTACATGCAAGTCCATAGGTCAATCTGTACATAACTAAGCTCTCAAAATATGACAAACTAGATGACATTCAAGTGAGGAGTGCAGAGTATGCATGATATCAGCCAACACCACATGCTTGAGCATGAGCAGTTGATTACATAGATGCCCGATACAGTTGATTGAGAACAGCCAATAACGTAGGCACACCTAACAAGTCAACTTGAGGAAACTAAATTCCAACCAAAGTTGACACAGCTATATTTGACTGAGTGTAGCTTTAATTCTCTTGGCAAGGATGAATTTGTATTCACATAACCTTCACTTATGTTTAATGAAACACTGTTCATAAACTATCTTCTGCCAATATGCAACTTTGGATCAGGGCTTGAAAATGTAAGAAACAACTATTTACCTTAAATTCCCAAAAAGACCATATCATGGCTGAAAATTACTACACCCACAGCAACCAAATGTATGGTACAAGATGAAACCAAGGGGAATGCTGATGAGCTATTTTTTTTTTAACTGTTCTACGACAAAATTATGAAAATCCAGGACCTAGTTCATCAACACGCAGATCAAAACAGTAAACATTCTTCATGTTTTCACGGGGCAAAAAGTTCAAAATCAAAATGCTTGTATCAGCAAAATTTGTCGTATTTTGTCTTATTTTGTTTTTGTCATTTTGTCAGATTTCCAAGGGTAAATTATGAGTATAATTACAAATTAAAATACACGTACAATTTAAATTGGTTTTTACAAATTTCCAGGACTTTTCCAGGCCTGGAAATTGAAACTACAATTCCATGACTTTTCCAGGGTTTTTTTTCAAGGCCGCAGAAACCCTGTGTGCATTTTCCACACAATTATCATACATGGTGAATGAACAGGGAAGACATACAGTTGAAACAAGTAATGCTTGTATTTGGACTTAAGTATCAATGAAAGGACAAGATGGTGAAAGATTATCAAAGGCTGTATTGAGGAACAAGCCAAACTCCCATGGTTAGTCTGGTATGCAGGATTGCATTGGATTTGCTTTGAATAAATATGTATGCATGTACTGGTTATATAAATATATATATATGTGTGTGTGTGTAAGATTATTTATACATGTAATAGAATAATATAAAAATTCAACTCCTGGTTTCCCATTGGGCAGCCATGTTCTCAATTTGTAATATGTAACATCAATACAACATCTAGGGAACGTACGTTCTGAATTGTTTTAGCTTTTCTTTGTTTTCGTGGAAGCAGGTCACAATTACAGCTAGAAAAACAGACATAATGGTGAAAAGCCAAGGATATCTTGCAATAGGAGTGAAGTTAAATGGCAAAGGATATCTGGCAGGTTTTCTCTTCAAGGCTTCTAGAAATCCTCCTTCCTCGTTGCTCACTGTAGCAAGAAATGACAAACATGATAACAAGCTTACTTATCATTTTTTAACAGTATGACTGTTAAGATTAAGTGTTTAATAGTGCATGTAACTACCTTTGTAAGTAAGATGTAATGGACTTTAGGATTCATGCGTGCAAACTTAAAACTCACAATGTTCAATAGTTTATATCAAATATCCAGATAGCTGCTTTGAATATCTGGAAATTATGGGCGACTTTCACAGGATAAAAAATACCTCTGCAATGTTGTTTCTTAAATGGTATAAGTTGTGCAGTTTGATACACCACTTTGGAGTTAGACAGCCCAAAAAAGTCCTGAATTCCAATTGTTTTGATATCGTGCCAATGACTCAAAAAGATAAATGGTTGTAACTTACTATGCAAGAATAAGTATTATATCACTACAATGAAACGTTGGATAAGTGCAGGCTTTACTGCCGGATATGTGACTGAGCGGTTGCAGTTCTCAGTTGAGAGCATGTGGGCAAGCCCTACGCACAACAATTTATATGCCATGCAGTGTATATAAGGTTCATTTATAAGGAACACAGTGTAAATGGTTATTTTTACAAACTGGACACGCGGCCGTTCTAGACCAATGAAATTACAGTATCCAAGCACATGATATAACAATTTTCTTCAAGCAAACTTGAATCCTCGATCCTGATTGATTGATTCATGGCACTCACAGTGGCATATACCTAATACCAGTAGCAAGGTCGACATTGTACTCTGAGTATCACGCTATTCCAAGATGCATGCACCGTTCATTCAGCATGGACATATAATGGGATAACTGCTGGAAAATTCATGTACACAGGCACACTACATTATTCTGTGTTCCACATAGTCTAGGGGCTAGACGTTGTTCTTGTTTGAAACGCGATAACCCGCCGCCACGACAACCCGCCACCGCGAGAGGGCGCTATCATGACCAACCAATATCGCCCACGAACCTGTCAGAACGTCGTCTAGGGAAACTGCTGAGTTTTCCCCCCGAAAAATGGGGGAAACTAGTCGGCATGCGCAACTTCTGCAGGCAATTACGGTCCATTTTCAGTCCTACACATACTACACATAACAAAAGAGCTGACCAGTGAAGTTGCACAAAGGTCTTGCTGCATCTTTTATTGCACTGGAAGAAATTTGAGAGTTTGCTTCGGAACTAATATAATTTTTTTTCGAATTGCGCGCTGCATATATTAGGCCAAACAAGTGCTCGCGCATTACACAACCAATAAGAGTTTCCCTAGACGTTGTTCTGACAGGTTCGTGGGCGATATTGGTTGGTCGTGATAGCGCCCTCTCGCGGTGGCCGGTTATCACGGCGGCGGGTTAACGTTATCGCGTATCAAACAAGAACAACGTCTAGCCCCTAGACTATGTTCCACATCGCACTCCATGTATTGTACTATTCTAAGATGTGCGCTATTGTAAGATGCACACGTAATTCATAATGTTGGTAGGTATAATAGGATAACCGTTGAACAGCTCATGTACAGCGTGCTCTTTCAAGTTTGCTTGAAGACTTGACAATAAATTCATTATCCCATTGCGCTTGGGGAACATGGAAAATACAGTGCATCTTTGTCCCATACCACTGGACCATCGGCCTGGTGGCATATGGGATACAGATGTACTACAATGTCCTGTATACTTACATAGGACTATAGTTGTTATGTTACATGCAAACACATAGATTGCAAGGAAACACGTAGAGACAATAAATAAGTAGAAGAAACGGTAGTTTCTCTTGCCGACGCAGTTACCAACCCATGGACAGTGGTGGTCAAATTGCTCTGCAAAGGGGACAGAAACAATGAATTATGGACACGATGTAATAACAATGAATTAATGTACAAATACAATACTGTTAAAGAGTCTGAATACAACACAAACATATTTGTGCATCAAAAGTGTGAAGCTAGATATATGGGCTCTGTGTACAAGTCTCCCCTCAAATGCACTGCCAACGATGCCTGATGCTCACGCAAGGACACTCTGGCTTTGTGCCAATTTAGAATAAAAGTACGCAGGCTTTCAAAAATGGTCTCAAAATGCCGTCTACTGATCATACATGGTGTTAATAGATAGAAGCGTGCACAGTAGACTTCTGTTGTCATATTTTATGAATGCCCATTTTGAGTTTAGAATCTGACAACTTCTCTGTAGTATCAGACGGATTTGGTATATCTGAGCAGGGAACAAAAGCTTTTGTTTTAGCCTCATACTCACTGACTCAGTGTCACAGAAGGTCTGCTCTGGTATTTTAATTTAGTAGCAACGAATATACGATAGGTTTACTCATCTTACCTAAATGATACAAAACCATCACCCTCTGCTGCCCCTAAACACATGTGGTCTATTCAACTAACAGATTTGAATAAGCTGTAAAGTTTGATTGACTTCAGCAGGTATCAGTAAGGTGTCAGAAAGCCCATAGAATATTAGAGATGAACCATGTACAATCTTCAAATATTGCACCAAGTTGGAAAAATGGTGTCATAGCCTGATGAACAGGACTCAAGTGCTTTGACACTACCGAATAAAGCGCTATATAAGTGCCACACTATTGTTCTACTGTGTTTTTTAATCTGACTCCACAAGACTTCTTACCAACACAGTTATCACACAGACTGCAATGTGACGCTCTAGGCGGTCTGAAGATCTTACAGGTGAAGCAGTATTTGAGCTTGACAGTCTGACCATTAATCGTGACTTCTTTAATCCGAGGGGGAGGACGGTAAGTGGGATTATCTGGATTGGGTACCTCTGATGAGAGATGAGACAAACGTTATAAGACGAGCTTCAAAATAAACATGTATCACAAGTATTGTAATATTCACCCTGAAAACAAATACATTGTACAATGCACCGAATAACCAATTAATCATGCTTCATATTCTTGTTCCCATCACACGTGCATATTGTTAACTGCTGTAATCAAACAGGTTAAAAAAAGGAGGTCATTGAAGTATAAGCAGTATGCATTTTCAAAGGCTTATGCTAAAGTATGGGCCTAAATAACAATGTGCATGTCACAATTCCCATAGGAAAACGTAAAGACAAGGAAGGGATCACTAAACCAATCAGGAAGAAAAAAATCAGAAAAAAAGAACACAAACTAAGCTTTTATAAAAAAAAATCAGATCAATAATTATGGGTTTTGGGGGACAAAGTTTACAGAAAAGCCATACAGGATTTGTACTGAAAGAGGTGCATCTACATTTCTTTGCTAGGAATTGCCACCATTTATTGTTCTGTCTACAGCTACGTCTGGTCATGTGGTGTAATGATGCCATACATGCAAACCGTAACAAATAAAACACGACATGTGGCGTAATATCCATCATCGTACCCATTTGTCTCTCAATGTCTGCAGCCTCATCAGGTGTGGCACGAGGAAGGACCCCTGGATCACTGAAGCTTGTTCTTAGAAGTGTTGAAAGGCAGAAGATGGTGATGAGAGCACCCACAATAGGAATAGCAACAGAGAGGCGGCCAGCTAGGAATGGACAGCTGGAGCATCAATCAAACAAGATGAAAAGCAAGCATTTTAATAATCTATTAAATACAACCATAATCAGCTGTAATGTGGTGCTCATTACCATTTCCCTTACAGGTAAAAAATCCCTGTTTTCTATCAACGTATTTAGTGGTGTTCAGTAATTATCACAGGGGCAGTTGACTTTAGGGGAAGAATTTGCATAAAATAATGACACAATAAAAATCTCTGTGTATGCACGTCTACGTTGTGGGAAATGCCAATGGTACACAACTGTTGTGTTTATATATTAGCAGGATTTGGTAATTATTGTCAATGATATAATCCTTCAACATGACTGTGTACACAGAACAATACTGACACATACATGGACATGTACATGTAATAGCCTGAATGCCTTATCCCAAACTCTTCAAAATCTAACACCTTATTTTTGATAGATATTGATAGATTTAGGAGTAAAGAACAAAATTCATGGGGCTTTACAAGGGGCTTAATATCCTAAGTTTAATGAGTGAGTTTCTTGGCAAAAAAATACAATTATGAAATGTTGAATGAAGCTCTACTTACTCAAAAGCAAAGAATAATGTGCAAGTCACGACAATCAGACCAAGGGTAAGATAGAAGACTCCTTTTTGTCTTGCCATCATAATCCGTCCATCACAGTAGAATGAGTTGCGGCCAGGTAATACCTGCCATTTCCGTTTGGCCATGTTTGCACCGTTATCCAGCGCTGCGTATCTGCTGGAAGACGGTGAGTCTGTAGGGCGTGGTGCTGAAATATTGGTCTGTGGTGAAAGCATGTGATCAACTTGGACACTCTACTGCAAATGATGCCTTTGTTCCTGCAGTCAGAAATGATGTCAACAAAACAAATATAGTTATAGTCAATATACATGAAGTGCATCTCAATTTTTACATTTATTTGTTAACCCTAACTCCCTAGCGTCTTTTACTAAGAACAGGATCAAGTCCATCAAACTCCATCAATCACTGTGCGTTTAATACAAAACTGTACATGACATAATGGAATCCACCACTGACGCACTGGTTGACATTCATGGACTTGCTACACATGGCTTTTATCACAATAGCAGTACAAGAAGCTAGGCAAAATCAATTGGATACCCCTAGCACTGCTTCAGGCCATTAGGCCCAAGTCCATCATACTCAATCAATATTTAGTCACGCTAGGCCTTCTGGACCAAGTCCCCCAAAATCCACCAAAAATGGGGGGGGGGGGGGGGGGATTTTGGGTGGTTAGGAATAATGTGTTATTACAACAAAATATTGTAAAGTCTGTTTTCTCACAGACATCTACATCATACACGTAAACCATATTAAAGGAACCTATCAGCAAAACATTTGATTTTTTTTTTAAACCTTGCTGTTATCTAGACATTGGTATTGCATATGAAATACTTCTGATCAATTCAATTTGTTTTCAGCTACTGGCCTTGTGGTGTGGATTTACCTGCAATGCAAACCCTCAAATATGATTCATAATACATATTTGTAGTGTACATTATGGTGTAAAGTACATGTACATTATGTACCCTGCTTGTCACTGACAAAAATGAATAATGCAGCACTACAAGAGCAACATCTACAACTGTAGTACAATCCAATGAACATTCAATCCAATCAATGAATAAGATGTTCACGGAAATATTCCCCATCTTGCCCGTGGGGCAATTTTATACATGTTGCTGTGTACGCATCGTCATTTGAAGGCTTTGGCGCTTCCAAGTCATCATGCGTTCATTCCAAAATGCGCTCGCGTCTAGCAACACGTGCTCTTTTTGCCCGTGAACAAGATGGCGCACCGTGACAAACCTTATTGGTACAGCTGTCAGGTAAGTCATATGTACTGTGTATGCAGAAGGTATTACAGACCAGACGGCTATTGGATGTCATACTCAACATAAATAATCGAAGCGCTATGTGATTGGCTAATCAGACTCTCACATGAATTTTCTTCCCCGCATATACTATGGCCATCCCCAGGCATATCATGCTGCACATGTGCACGTGAATTTTGCCTCAGTGTGACCTGCGGAAGTTTTTTTTCTCAAGATTCTAGGCTTGCGACCGTTGTTAAAAGTGTGCCACATATGGCCAAACAACACACCGACCGTGCAAACCAAAACGAAACCTTTTCGCTTGGGAGTTGTTTTTCACGTTGGATTTTCACCATTTTTGCAAAATAATGAAATTTCGGAATAATGACATTTTTTGGTGCGGGGCCAAAACCACAATAATCTACTTTCATTTGCCTTGTTTTATAGGAACCGGGCTGTAGATACACGATCACCAGCCACGGCCACTCCACCATGTCCACATTCAACATCTTGATTCTCAGCACTATCAAACATTGCTATCAGAATTCACTGACATAAATTGCGCTGCTCATTATGTGACGTCACAATCGCGTGACAGAAACCAATTCCCCCCGTTCTGAAGCTTCTCATTGGTTTGCAATTCTCTTTAAAGATATACCAGTAGTCCATCATTTGTAATTTGTGCATTTTGTTCGTTTGAAGCAACAAAAGTGCTCAAAATCTAAAGAAGGGTCCTCAACAAGTAACCTGATGAAGTTTCAGCTCAGCTTCAGCTGTCTATTCCGAGAAAAACAGCATTCTAGGATCTCAATTTCAAATCAAAAGTTGCTGAATCATGTTTTGAATTGGGCCTGAATTCAGCATCCGAGACACGTTCTCACTGAACCGATTGCAGCTTCGCGATGTCGCGCACTGATCCGACGAATTATAGCAACCCTGCGTGCGTGTGCGTCGTGCCAATGCTTGCGCGCGCTTTGCCGAATAAAAACATGAACTACTAACGGAAATTTCCTGCGGTGCGTCTTAAGAAGCACCGTTGGAAATGCCTTCTTTCGTTGATTACTTCAAAATGACAGCTTGACAGAAAGAATAATTTCACAGGGAGTTTAGTTCCCTTACTATCATTCAACCAAGTATGTTTTTCAACAATAATTACGCCAGTTACTTTTCGGATAGCTGCAAATGATGGACTATAGCTTTAAATCAATACTACAGATTTACCGTTTACTGCATTGAAATTGGCCACCTCTAAACCGCATTATCGGCACTTTTCTCATCGCATACTCGTAAGCTTTTCCATGATGCTGTGCCAAAGTGCCGAACTTTTAGTGAGTGTTATGTTCGTCTTTCTTCGATTGTACTTAATTCAAGAATTTATTCATGAAATGCACTATTTTTGTGGGTGAAGTTGACTGACTTACTCTTAGCGACGATTTGGTGCATAGGTTGACAATGTATGTATACCCCTGGCCCTGCACGACCGATATGCAAGAATATACGGTCGTAAAACGAAAGTGAATGACTGTACATTCACACGTACGTGCATGACGTGTGCGCGGAGGACAACGCTAACGACTTTGACCCAAGCAGTTGACCTCGCTATTGCACATGCTCACAACAGTGACAACACGATCGAAATATGCTACACACACAGTGGGCGATGTTTGTTAGTGCTCAGTCATGTCAGTAAAAGCCTACACTACAGACATGACAGAGTACAGGCTGTATTTGTAGTACTTACAATGTCGTCGAATCCGCCTGTCCTTGGTTACTGTAGTCTGTACTAATGAGTAACCTCGTTGGTAATGCAACTAGAAACCTATTATAAAAACATGAAAAAGACTTTGATATTTTTTTCATGCACTGTACTGAGGATGAGTACAGTTGCTGTCCTAGTTCCGGATTTTTCCTAGTTCCGGATAGCTTCAAATAAAAACCTACCTCTTTTGGATTAGTCTCCAATATATATTTTTTTCTGACGATGTGCATTTTGAAAAGAAAAATGTAAGCTCCTTGATACACAAAGATTTTCCGATAAAATATTTAGAAGAGGAATTTTGGCCAGATTTCCGAATCGCTGGAGTTGCGAATCAACGATAAAATTTCTCCTCGGTATATCACTTGTACTGTGTGATTTTTAATATTTTGTTCATACACTACAGTCGTATTAACACTTCCATCGAATGCTTGTTGGATCAAAATAAGTTGTAAAGTCTTTAATTTTTGAAAATTTGCCAACGAATGACCGTATGCTTTTGCCTAGTTCCGGATAGTGCTTGCACTTACGACCCAACCAGTTACGACCCAACTACACGCGCGTTAATCGTTTTTGATTGATGTATTCTGTGCTGGGTCAAAGATGTTCGGTCCGTGCGTGAGTTCAAGCCGTTGCGCTGCAGACAAAAGTTTCAAAATTATTTACGTTTTTTCTCTTTTTAAGATTTGCTGGAATTCTCTTGAATGAACTATTTTTGGAAAATGAAATAGGCCTAATAGGCCTAGGGGCCTACTATACTTTATCAGAAAATATGCTTGATTCGGTTGGTTCTGGCTGAAAAAAAATTATTTCCTCGCGTGATTTGTTTTTCCCGTGAAGCAGTTTTGATCGAATCGGAACTGATTGAACCTTCCTTCCTCCATGATTGAACCGATCCGGAAATAGGAAAGTGACATCGGTACTTTTGACGTTGTTAAATCAAAATAAAACGAGCTTAATTTTGAAGATTATTTCCTGGTTGGGAAAATTCGGCTAACCGATCACCACTTACCTGCCGCCAAACATCCAAATTTTCACCTCACCTTGTGATTTCAACCAAGAGGAATCCAGGAAACAGTGTACATGCGAAAAACAATAGTAAAAATGTGTTTTTAGAGCACATTATGCATGCACATGTAGTGCAGATCTGAGTTGAAGCAGCCGGTCAAAACTGATTGAAGTGTCTGGAACAGCGGTACGTTATACGCATGACATCGATAACCATGACGTCGCATGAGCCGGCCAATGATAGTGCAATACGTCATTCTGTCATTATGAATATTTATTTTCTCATGAATATTTAGTTTATTTCAATGGATACTTCAAATACGTCCAAAGATTGATCATTGCAACAGCGATCGTGCGCGGCCTAGCGGTTAAGAGTCTCGTGTATCAAGCAAGCGTCCGAGGTTCGAATCTCGAAGAAGTGAGTGACTGATTGATAAATAGAAATTAAGGAAAGGAGAGGGTGAGAGTAGAGGAGGGAAAGTGGAGGGAATAACCATAAAAGATCTAACTGTTGGCGCTAGAAAATTGATTGAAAAAGTGGTGATCGGGTAGCCGAATTTTTCCGCAGCCTGAATGATGTTTGCTATCCGGAAATAGGAAAACGACTGTAACACTCGACTTGCTTTAGTACTTTTGTTGCTGTTTTATAGGCCTACACTACAGTAGGCCTACACGATATTTTTTTCTGCACAAAAATAAGCAATGATACACGTTGAAAATCGCGTGAAACTATCTCCTAATGCAAAGGATGCATTCAACGAAACGTGGATCTTACCCTTTATATACGTGGTGAACCTTCAACAATGAAATAAATCACAATGTCATGAAAAACACACAAAATACAGGTTAACAATAACAGGCCGGAACTAACGACGTACAATATTGCGATGCATCGTACATGTCGTACGCGTTATGTGCGGGCGGCGACTTCATTGCGCATGTGTATAACTTAATACCGCCCTCTCTTGATAGGCGGGATGCGATAATTTTTTATTACACAACTATCTGGGGTACTTTGTGCGCTTTCCTATGGGACATTTTTATTATAAACAGGCTGGAGTGGAGGCTACTATTTTTCAACTTGGTACGGATTTCGGACTTTATTTCCCTTTTTAAAAAAATCCTCCAGAGCCTCGGATCGGAAAAGAAAAAGAATATTGCTGCTATACAAGTAGTACGTTTCTTAGATAAAACTTTGACTTTTTGAAAAAAAAAAGAGCAAACCCGAGATGTGTAGAGCACATGTATGTTTCAGCCCCATAGACCGTGCGTGCATTTAGTTCGTCTTCTCACGCATGCGCAATGGTTTCCTCCGCGTCGTCGGCTTGCAAACTGCGGTAGCAGACGACGCACTGAACGATTGTCTGGTTTTCATGTCTTAAAATGTATCCTTCTCAAACGTACTTAAAAGATGATTCAAACAAAAAATTATCAGTAGACCAAGTGAACAAAGATATAAATTGTCTCTACAGTGTGGTAACGGCGCTAAAAACCTTTTCAAATATTAAAAAAAAACCAATAATTATGGACAAAAAACGTACAAAATGAAAAGGAAAAACATCGTTCGATTTTGAGTTTGGTTTACACATTTTGACAATTTGCCGGGTTTACCTTAGATCAGCCGTAGTACCATCGGAAAGGATGATAGATTATTATCATTTTACAGGTGATTTGATGTAAGAAGGAAACCTGTAGCTTATAAAAATCGTCATTTTTCGAGTAAACCCATTTTGAAAGCTTCGTGCACAAATACACTGGTCCCAGTACCCTCTGACCCTCTGTGATCGTACTTAACTGCATCTCAGGGCCGGGAACCAGTCAGTTGTAAATCGTTTCAGTTAAATGTATACATTTATTTGCCAACGCGTCGAAAGATTACAAACGAAGCGCCGCGGCGCGTGGCGCGTGGCTAGCCATGTTTACGGGCCAGATTCCCGTAGGGTCTGTGTACAGGTACGTGCACACTAACGTTCCATTCAACGAAAAAACGTATAACGTGAGACCTTACTTTTCTCATTGAAACGGTTTCCGACTTAAATGATATTTATACATCGCACTTTCCGTGGCATCTTTTACCATTTTTCAGTGAAGACAAGTTTACAATTACTCGGCAAAACTGAAAAATTATCCCCTAAACTGTCGCCTGTTTTGAATTTGTGACCCAATATTTTCGTACTACACGACACGGAAAAACAAAAAAAATGCATCAAATACTCTCTCTTTTTTGCGCTAAGGTTTGCAAAAGTGACTTTGATTGCCTTAAATTCCTGTCCACGTGGAAAGAAAAATTTATCAAAGTTCTTCGAGCGTGATGTTGACCGATACTTCAGTGGGTCAAACTGCGACCGCAGGCATCCATGTTTGCTGATTATCAGTATTTCATATTTTGAGTGCGCATGCGCGCAAACTAAATGAGCGGCTGAAACATACGTGAGCAGGGAATCGAACTCGGGACCTCAGCCTACTATCCAGCCTGCATAACCACTAGGCAACGGCGGTACTCGATCGGCCTTTGCAATAGACCGCTTGCAGACGCGTTCGATAATCGACGCGCGAAGGCGCGCGACGCCATGTTGTGGGACAGGCGTATATCTATCCACGCACATTTTGTCCCAGAACATGGCGTCGCTCACCTTAGCGCGTCAATTATCGATCGCGTCTGCAAGCGGTCTATTCATCTCGTAAAAACGAACTTGGACAAAATATATACTTGATGGCACTACAGGGCTTTCGTACTTTCGCACATGTGGAGAGAGTATACGCCCGAGTATACGCGCTCGCGCGTAGGTAAAAGGCATAGGTAAAAGGCTACAGGATTGTAGAGCGCCGCTCGCGCTATCGCTACGCGGCGCTCTACAATCCTATAACCTTGATTCAAGTCGCCTGAAAAGTGGGTACCCTGTACTATTGTGTAAATAAAATATTGGCAGGCGGGATGATATGTTCGCTCCAACCTCGTACCCAGGGTGTCGAGCAGTACGCGCCCATCACTACCTGCTCTCTCACTCTTGGAAACCGTGTTGGAAATAAAGTAACCACTGGGGACGAGGTTGATGTTCGCTCGTACCCCGTACCCCCAGCCTCGACTCCAGGGGCGCGTGCTCGTTCCTTACAATAAACTGCCATAGACCCCAATGATAAATGCCCCCACTTAAAAAAATCAGGAAAAATTCTCACAACTCTCCAAAGTATTCCAGACACACATCAAACTAAAGCTAATTCCATCACCTTTCATTTTCTTTTCAATTTTAGGGGGGGGGGGGGGGTTTAACTGATGACTTTTAGAAGAAATTTTCATCCGAAAATGATCACCCTCTAAAATGGTCCTGAAGCCCATCGCCATTTTTGAAAAACGACGCCTACACTCCATTGCAAAATAGAGCGCTTTTAGGGCTCCAATTTCATCCAAATTGCACAGAACTACAAGCTCACAGTCCTGTGCACGGCTTCCACCCATGCATACTACAAACCCTCAAGTTCACGGCCTTAAATAGCGAAGAATTTAAGGGCATGCAAATCGTGATTTGGCCGGCGTAGGCGATTTCGGACCGATTTACTGGCCTGCAACCATAGCTCTATGGTCCCACTATACTAATGACAAATTACACTTATTACTTCACTAATTACGCTCATAGGAAAGAACCATTGTCTGTGTATATGGAGATCAATGGAAAGAACGCACAATTGGACAGGAAGAGCGCCGCCTTGCGACGCCTTGTGACGCTCAGGAGCAAGGTGGCAATGATTTTTTCACTGGAGATGACGAACTCTGGGACAATTATCTGTTCACTTTTTACCAGAGGTAGTCACGTCAATGTTTTTATATTCCCCTCTCCCCAAACCACCCCTAACACGGTTGCCAATCTTTATCCCTGGGTCCAGGATGTAACCCCCCCCCCCCCCCCCCCCGTGCACGTTAACAGTAAATACTTTTTTTCGGGGCAAAAAACACACGAAGGTCTTGGAACCAAGACTATGACGTGACGTGACGTGCAGGAGATAACCAGCGACCGTATGGTGTCGTTAATAGTACATCATACTAGAGAGCCCTGTTATAAACCGCCCTCTAGTGACAAAGTTGATTAAAGTTGAATTGTCAATGCAGGGACTACTTGAGTGGGCTTTTGTATAAAAAGCGTAGGACATGCTTATATTACGACAGAAACGGCCAATCTTAACCGATATACCAAGCGGCAACTGATGAACCTCAGCTTTCCAAAAATCCCAACATTTTTTTAAAACACCGTTAATATCCGCTTCGACAGCATTGTCAGCATGTGGAAGACTCCGTCAATCAGTGTTCTCCTTATATTTATGACATGTGTGATTAGCTTCAACTCTGTCGATACTGCCCCATTGATCGAGGAGACAGTCGATGTTCTTTCTAACCCAAGACTTGATAAGTCTCTGGGGCCTTCTTCAAGACGGCTTGTATTCGATGCTCCAGCTATCTCGCCATCTCTACCAAAGCCATCACGAAAGCACTTGCAGAGAAGTCAGAAGTTGTACACTTCTCTGTTTCCATCTTTTGCCTACGAGTCAACACCAATTCAGACCCCAGCAGCTGTAGCCGATGATCCACCAACGATCACACCGAAGGTTCGGGAGTTTTCATTTGGTACTAAGCAACCTTTCCAGAGTGTGTTCAGACAGAGCGAGGCCTTCTCCTTTCCTCCTATCCCGGACCTCCCGCCACCTCCTGAAGGCAAGGGCTGCAGAGATCGGGCGACTGTTGGAGAACGTGACGAGCTAAGCGGTGAGGGACAGTTACCTGTGATTCCAGAGTTTCCTGAAATCCCCAGATGGATGCCAAGGTCTGCTAGTCACAAAGCACAGTTCGCCTTCAGTAGTGCTGAGAGGGTATACTCGGGTCTAGAGGATGGCACGAGCGGGAGTAACCAGACTAAGTTACAATGAATGAACGACGGTAAGTTCTCGGTCAAGTATATAAGCTAATTTTCCCCCTCGACACCGAACTAGTTCTGCTCATGTTTCTCTCCTCTAATTTGTAGGGGATGAAGGTACGAGATAACATTTGCCACAATGGTGGAGAGGGAGGGTTCTATCGTGGTGATGTCCAATGTACAAATATACCCGGATAATAGGCACTTGTAAATACACCCCTCCCCCCCCCCAAAAAAAAAAAAAAGAGTAATAAAATATGTGAAAAAAAATCTGACCTCGAAATTTGTAGTTTTCGAATAAAATTCAGTTCCTATGGGGCCGATATGTTGTCTCGTTAAAGACACAAAAGCAACTTTCTATAATAAAAGCCCTTTTTTCAGGTTGCCCTCGCCCAAAATAAAGTTTTTTTTCTGGCAAAATAAATTCGTTAGAAAACAAATATAATTTGATGAACAGCACGGCAAGAATATTGTGTATATTTGTATAGTTAATATACAAGGGCGTTCTGCGACTTAAAGGGCTCATGCAATGTAAATTGTTTAATGCAGTCCTTGAAAATGCACATTTGTGTCCCATTCAACCTTATTTCCAATTTTCGTTTTGCCATTTTCAAGGGTGTTTTGGTTCCTTTTGGGTTCTATGCTAATCCATATTCATGAGCAAATGAGTGATGTCATTTCAGGCAGAAACCTCAATGTTACAGCTATCATTCAGCACACAAAGTTACCAGAATTGTGGATATTTTCCTGTTCTATATTGTCTTTTCTGTGGTGATTCGTTGTTGTGTCTGTACATGGCATTAAGCCAGTGAGCAAATTTTTCTCCCAAGATGCTTTCAATGATCAATTTATTTTGTTGCACAATTTGAAAAGAGAACCCCTAAACTGAACAGTGTCTTCCTCAAAAATGACATCACAGCAACAGCGCCCTCAGTTGTCCGGAATAGCATGGACAATTTTAAATGTTTAAAAACGTGCACTTTTCAATAAAATTAACCATAAAGGGATTTCAAATAGTTTTCATACATTTTAAAAGGAGTAGAAAGTTGCACAAAATAGTTTCCTAGGAAAATTTTATTTCACGGACCATTTAATTTGCTTGCCCATCCCTCCTGTAACACGAAATTGTTTTAGATAGTAGTGGCAGTTACAAACAAACTTCCTCTGGGAATTTGTTAGTTGCTCGTAGGTTTCAGATTATTGCACTTGCCCCGAACTTCGGAGATTTTGTCGGTTGTTTGTTAACCGGATTGTGGAAGTACCCACAGGGCCTGCTGGCACACTACTACAAAACAACGTGAATGAGAGCTGACTGTATAGTCCTCCCCCATCAGTCAGCCCACGCTTGTCCCTACGGTAGAGATTAAGTAGCATTAAAAAAAGCCACAAATTAAGACTTGCCACAAACATTTCCGTTACTTAGTCTGCTGTTTAACGTGTTTACCCGATTTGATGACCCCAGGTGATTACTTTAGACAAAGGTGTTTTGCAAAATATCTAATGAACTCCAACGGCGGATCCGGGGGGGGGGACAACGGGGGTCATGCCCCCCCCCCCCCCAACGAATCCATTTTTTATATTTTTGTCAGTGACGTCGCAAAAAATGCAACCACTGCGTACACCACCTTAAGCGGACCCTGAAACCCACGCCGTAACTTTTTGATTCAACTTTTTTGGGTGAATTAAAACAAATGACAAATTGTTGCCGCCCCCCCCCCAAAAAAAATTGTGTTCTGGATCCGCCCTTGTCCCTTTCATTTCCAACCTGATAGGCCTATAGACAAATCGTTACATTGAATAGGTTTGGTGTTCCTCTGGAAGTGAATTAATCAATAATTAGCTCGACGTGGAGATTTGACATTTCAAACAAGATTCAAGCAGAATTGGCTAAAATCTTTTTTTCAACTGCCTCTGTTATATTTATGTATGAATAAATGAGCCAGAGCAAGATGCCCTATAAACCGTAGAAAAACACAAATAAGTTCCCTCCGAAATCTCTGTTTTGGGTCATTGTATGCCGTACCGCCCCCAGCGTGAGTCCTTAATCACGAGAAATGTTCCCAAGCGAAATTTAAAAAGGACAGTACTGTACGATGTCACTAGTTTTAATGTTTTTTGATAAACCAGTGAAAATGAAGCCCAGTATTTGCTATTTTCTTCTCAGGAGATTTGCAAGACTGTCCTGAATTACGTGACACGCGACCGATTGCTAAGATGGGTGTGGTGTTCCTGTACATCGGGGAAACAAGAGACGGTTTCAGTTCAAATTGCTCACATGTTCAGGATTGTACCAAGTTTGGCTGTGCGTGAAACCATTGGACAATGTGTCTGGATACGTGTAGTACTGTATTTATAAAAACAAATATTTTAATGTTTACCGTTTACATGTATAATTATAGCGCATTCCACATTCCACTTGTAGTTAATTCAGTTATTATAGTAACGTCTGTACGCATAATAGACCTTCATCATGCTGCCACCATTTCAGTCATGTTCCCTGTATCCAATAACAGTACTGAATGATAATGTTTTTGTTTTGCAAAAAGGAACCAGACTATTTTTCCTTCCAGTCTCGCTTTGGTTACATTGATTTGAATGGGAAAAAAATCAAATGGCTGCAACATGATAATGGTCTATTCGATTTTTTTCTTTGCGTTATTGGTATACGGTACGGGAAGATATCAACGACATAAGGGTCTTAACAGATTTGGAGGTATTTTGTGTAAAGTCCGCTGTAATTCTGTTCGGCAGATGACCTGAACGATGCCCAGGGGCTGAGATCTAGATGGTAGGCGACTTTGCTCCCACACAAACAGCAACTGTTAGAACGGCTGTCCATAACGGACAATCATAATTCGCCTTTATGGTGTAAATGATAAGATTCCATCAGAAATTGTCACCAAATTTATGTTAAACGAAGAGAATTGTATGTGTTTTTTTATGCCATTAAATCGTATATACACAACAAGAAAGCAAACCACTTTCGACCCTCGAAGATCGCAATCCTGACATGAGCTGGATACTTTTGGTAGGATTAATGCTTAGTACTCGAATTGATGCTCTCACACGCTTCCGCAACCCTTGCCTTCCCGTGTGAAATTATTTAAATAAAAAACAGTAATAATAAGCTAATGTTGATAGATGACATTTGAATGCTTTCATGTGATTGAAATGTTTTCTCCATGGTCTTTCCACTAAGCTTCAGCCCCACATGTGAACAGCATGTATTAGCTCTCTATGATCCCCATTAGACCTGATGATCAACAACATGAGTTATTTCAGCCCAGCTAGATGGACATGTAACAATAAGCGAATATTAAATAGTAAAACTTTCATCCCCCGTGCATTTTCGAGTTTCATCCCGATAAAATTGATTCCTTTTCTAAATTGCTATTTTAAAAACAAAAAATTACAAGTATATTCACGTTTGAATGAGATATTGACCGAGAAAATATTGGCTCCTAGCCAATCATAATCTTTCTCGCGGGGTAGGCTGGTTCCCGCCCCACAAACAGTATCGCTAATGTACGGATCGGGAGACAGTCTGCTCGCAAAGTAAATGTTTTTTGTGCTCCAAACAAAAACCTTTTCAACGAGGGTTGCAGGCATGTAAAAAGGTAAAAGAGAGGGTTAGGGCTTGAAATAAAGCATACAAGTTGAAGAGCACGGGGGACGCAACTTTAAATAATGTAGGCCTACATTGATAAAGTGGTAGTTTATTCTAAGACGGTCAAAATTAATATGCCATGCGTTTAAAAAATACCCCTTCCATTTCCATTTTTTCGAGGGCAATACATCTTACTGGCATTAATAGCTAGCTTGAATTTCTTCTTCCTTAAACTCATTCATAATAGCGATCAAGTTAACATCACTGCTGTGACTGACGTCATAGCTATTGATTGCCAGACACGTACCCGCAACACACAGACAAGAACTCGAATAATTATACACTGAAATGACAGTAATTGTCCGGATTACTTCCGATGTGTGGACTGATAGCTGTTGATGAATGGCAGGAGGGAACAGACAATATCAGTCAGGGTGAGGAAAATTCATTCATGATAAGACTTGGTTATTCATTCAGGTGACGATCTATCGACCATCGGATGTCTTCATTCATACGTATGACGTATCCCGAAGAGCTGTAAACAATTAGTGATAGTTTGTTCACCCGTCTCAAAAGAGTTACCTTTGATCTCCTATCAAATACGTGTATAAACAAGACTCAGTGCCTGAAGCAAAGTCAGTTTATTAACTTGGGAAACTACTGCTTGTAACGTAACCATTTGGTGGGGTATAATAACGGTTTCAACAGAGGGCGCATGACTTATCATTGCTATCGTCGGAGGGTGGGGACGGGATGCGTAATTGTTTTTCCTGGGAGGGTAAGGAGCAATTTTATTCATGAATAATTCAGTAGTTTCGATGGGAATATTATGTTTATTCATGAGAAAGAACAATGACATCAACACCATTTTTATTATTTAGTCAACTAGTTACATTAAAGCATTTTAAAGAACGGTTGTGGAGCTGTCACAGTGGCCTAGTGGATAGCAAGATGAGCTACAGATACAAAAATCCCTGGTTCGAATCCATTGATGCTCATTTTCATTGCCTATTATTCTTCTCCAAATTTATCGTTGGATGATTTTAATTTAAGAAAAAAACAAGGGAATGAGAACCTAAGTGTCTTGCAATGATTCAAAGGAAACACTGAATTATTCATGACATTGCCCCTACCCGCCCAGGAAAAATAATTACGCGGACGGGGTTGGGTTCGTGCTGTAGACTGGTTCCCCGTCCTTCCATTGTCGTATTATCTTTATAGCGGCGGGAACCTATAATGATACTGTCCCGTTGCATAGAACAGGAAATAAGTAACTTGGCAAACGCATAGGTTTACGCAAAAGAACAACAATTTAAACAAAATATGAACTTACTCAAACACAACCTATTTAATTTTAATTGAACACATAAAAGTATAATTGATTGCCCTTAAACTCTTAAACTAGGAAGAAGAAACTAGAAATCAAAATCCTGTTCGCTTTGATGACTATTAATTTCATTGCACCAATCGCAATAAAATATAGTAGGCATTTGGCCTAAGAATGATTAAAAAGCAATCTTGAAAGTTTCCTTGACAAATGGCCCGTGTAAAAGATATTTTCAATTTCCATTCTTGCCTATTTTTAGGGTTAAGGAAGCTGTTTGTTTTGTTCACCCAATGCATGATGTCCATGACAGCTGCATCAACATCAAAAGTTGCCAGCAAATATATTTTTATGTTTGAACGTGCACGCTTTCAAATTCCCGGCATTTTCCTAATTCAGATTAAACCAGGGTGTCTTTTACGATGTCATTCAATCATTGCATTCAATTCGTTCTCGTGAACACGTCTCCTTCTTATTTTATCATTCAATGTCGTTTCATTCATTTTATTCTGTTAATATAGGCTTTCAAGACTGCATTTTAATCAGTCTTCCAACTTAAGTCATAGCAGCGGACAGGATTTTTTGGCTGATTATTTTTTCTTCGTTTATTGGCAATCAAAAAGAAGTGAATTATGGATTGAGTAAGTTCGCCATTTTCTTGGGAGTATAGGTTACGCATTTGTTAAGTAACTTATTTCCTTTTGTCTGTCTTAATTACGAGTCGTTCTTTAGAATGATTATCTCATCATGAATGTTTACACCTGCACCAGTTGCAAGGCAGTCTCTTGATGGAGAGTCTAGCAGGGGCGGCGGAACCTGGGGCCAATGCCTCCCCACCTTTGAAAAGGCAGCGAGTTTGCCTCCCGCCCCATACCTTTTGCCGAGCCGGTGTAACAAAACAAGGGGTTAATCATCAACTTCCTTTAAGCTGCAGAATTGGCCTATGTATACGACTGTATGTAGGCTACATCGTGTATATACGTTTCGTACATACGCAACTTTGAAACACAATCAGTTAGATCGCTAATATAACAAAGGTTTCGTGTAACATTAACCGAAATAAAAAACAACAGGAAAAGGGCGCCCCATAGCGACATATGATCCCCGCGCTTTTCGAATTTGCAACAGCCCGCCGGTGTGGCGCACGTGATACGACTCTATGAAATATGAACTCATTGGCATGCGCAAGTAATATGCTATGGGAGAGTGACCTGTCACGTGCGAGAGATTAACCAATAATAGGGAAAAGGATTTTCATAGGAGTCGGATTTTCATATGACACCGGCACCCAGGCCGGTTGTCTCCCCCCTCCCCCCACATTCAAAACTGTTCTGCCGCCGCTGGTGTCTCATAAAAATAATGTAGCTAGTAAGCCCTGCTCTCAAACAACAACGCGTCTGTCAGTCTACATTAAGTCGTCACTCGTCCGCAGTCCAGCCATATGGTTGCTAACCGCAAAGCGTCGCCGTTGTTGAGCAAAGCTAATCCGATTACGTACTTAGACGCTATAACGGAGCAGTGAAATTTATGCACCCCAAAAACATGGCATTTTGAACGTTGTGTTTTTCAGAAAATATGCTTGGTGTGATTGAAATGTTACATTCTAACTGAAGAAAAAATTCTAAACTTCATGTCAGTGAAAAAATCGCCGTCATCAAAGCCGAAACCTCAATACTGGTAACTGTCAAACCCGACCTTCAAGTCTGGAAGAAATCGTTCGAAAACTTCCCCAAATGTATGTATTTACCCCAATTTTTACGAATTTATCCCAGTTGTTATTTCACGAGTAGTTGAACACTTATATCATCTAGGTGTATTCCGAAAATTTCGCAGACGATCAAAAAAATTCAATTTGCGACCCAACCCATGTGCATTGTTCAGCAAAGCGCTATGGCTGACTGATTTCGGCCCAGCACACAATAATGATGGGCATATTAGCATATTCATTATGAGATGGAATTTTGCGTCGGAGTAATATAAATCAAATTAGGTTTTGCCCTCCACCGACGTCGATGAAGGGCAAAACCTAATTTGAAGCATTTTCATTAGCGTCACTTGGCGTGACATGGCGTGGGTCTCAGTATCGACCAGTGGAAGCCGGCAAAAAGGGTGATATTTGTTAATTTAACAACTCGTGAAGGAGGCTTTTATCCAATTGTTTACTGCACACCGTAATGGATAGGAACCTCATTAATATTCGTGAGGCTTGAAAAGATTGATAGATATTGGGCACGCCAGTGTTACAATTTTTAAAGTGCACGTAGCGAGGTCTGTTTTTCTAATTTCAACGAAAAGTAATGAACATATCACAACGACTTTTAGCACATACTTGGATCATTATATGGGAAATAAATCCTGAACGTTGCATGAAGATACAGTCTTCCCAACTGGAGAAATTAATTTTCAAAGATTTCACACGCCAATGTGACCATGTCTGTGTACCAGTGTTGTAGTCGAGACCGGATAGTCCGAGACCGAGACCTGAAGTTTCGAGACCGAGACCGAGACCGAGACCAGCCCCTTCAAGGCGGACCGAGACCAAGACCGATATGGTCCAAGACCGAGACCGAGACCGCTGACAATAAATAACAATAATCTAAATAAA